ATTTTCCTCTTATATTCACGTCGGGAAAGGGTTAATGGAGACCTCTCTCCAAGAGAATTGTTCAATAATTCTATATACCTGGTAATAGCTCAGTCATTAGAAAATACATTTGACACACATTAAAAATGGTTTTATCAGTACTGAAAATAAGCTTGTTCCCACCTTAAAACCTATTTGTACTCACTTCAAAAAATGAAAAAAATCATGCTGGATACTTTTGTGTCCTGGTAATCATACTTCCTTCCTTTAGAAAATTTGTCAATTCCACTGGAAATTCTGCAGAAAATGATCAAAATTCAAGCTTCTGCAAATCTGCAGGCTTAGGCAAATTCTGTCTTCACTCTGTGAAATAAAAAATATGATATAAGCTGTCTGAAACCCTCAGCACTAGTTCACCCTATGCAGACAGAGCCTGTGGGAAATATTGGGTGGGGAGCAAATGAGCGGAGGGTGCGGAGCTAACGGTCATTTTTGAATTTAAATTTAGGATATTTCTGGAACTAAGCCGTTTTGGGACTTCAAATATACCAAGATATGTGTATTTGACACCAAATATCAATACAATTGTGAAAATAGTAGCGCAATTCATTCTATAGCGACGCAGTGTGCCTTAAACCTTTCCCAGACCTATATATTTTGAAATTATCCTTTTAATACTGAGTCCCCAGCATTCATAAAAAATGGTGTTCAAGGTACACTATCTATACAAATTATTTTTGCATCTTGGAAGCCAGGCAGTATCAGTGTGATTTTATAAAAATTCGGAAATGTTTTTCAGATATGAGCCCCCTCTAAATATTGGGTGCGGAGCAGCTCCATAAACGTAGCTCCGCACCCAATATTTAGAGGGGGCTCATATCTGAAGAACATTTCCGAATTTTTATAAAATCACACAGATACTGCCTGTCTTCCAAGATGCAAAAATAATTTGCATGGGTAGTGTATCTTGAACACCATTTTTTATGAATGCTGGGGACGCAGTATTAAAAGGATAGTCTCAAAATATATAGGTCTGGGAAATGTTTAAGGCATACTGCGTCGCTATAAAATGAATTGCGCTACTATTTTCACAATTTTATTGATATTTGGTGTCAAATACACATATCTTGGTATATTTGAAGTCCCAAAACGGCTTAGTTTCAGAAATACCCCAATTTTAAATTCAAAAATGACCGTTAGCTCCGCACCCTCCGCTCATTTGCGCCGCACCCAATATTTCCCACAGGCTCTGTCTGCATAGGGTGTAGTTTGAATCTCTGAAATACAGACCATACCAGATGCATGATAATGTTCATAGGTACATTGACTGATACAGGCTTCGTTTGGTAGATTTTGTTATGTCACCACCAAAAATGGTTAATCTTATGTTCGGTAGTTGGTTGGCATTTGTAGCAAATGGCAGGTGGTAACCTTTTGCATTGTTAATGCCTTGTGATAAAGTTATCATAGAAATTGTTAGAAGTTGTTTATTGCAAGTTGAAAAATCAGCTTGGAAGTTTAACATTCCAAAATTCCATTTTCAGTGTCGCTCGAAGTATACTATAAATCTTTGCAAAATGTAAAAACTCTTATATGTCTTGAAATAAAGAATTTCATTTTCTTGTTGAAATCATACAGAAAACTTTAGCTAAGATGTCTTAGTGTTTGCATTGTGCATCAATCGGGTCAGGCACCTTTAATCAAAGGTAATTTCTAATGGCTTTTACTACTTTTACCTGATAATTTGAATTAATGGATTTCTGATGTTTTATTACCTGTATGTATAAAGATATGTTCTACCTTCACCCCTTTTAAAGTAATAATACAATGAAGCAGCTCATTATAACCGACAGTGCACTATCGGTTCAACATAATTAGTTAATCTACACATAATAGTAGTAGCATTGCTACTAAATTGGCAGTCAGTTGTTGGATGCTCTATTGCTAAAGGGGCACTTGAAGAGAGAAATAAGCTGTGGGTATAACTTGTCACAATTTTCTAATAATATTTTTCCTCACAGCATTCCTTGACATGAAGTTTTAAAAAATCTGTAATTAGTGTACAGCTATAACTCTGAAAAAGGAAATAACGCTTCATTTCTTGATACTGATAATAACGAACATTTGATATATTTTTCATTAAATCACATTAAATGTGACATGACAAGCCTGGCACGTAAATATTTCTCTTCCCTTTTCAGCCACTTTATTAGCTGGCTTAAAATTTATTGTTTGACCACTATGTTTTAAATACCTGTTGCTATGGTAACATACAATTTTAATACACTAAATGAATGTATAATTCTCAATACAATCTGTTAAGAATAGTTTTTTAAACTAACTAAATATGAGTATATCATAAAATTGATCACGTGCAAAGTCTCTAACAATTGGTCTGTATCTGACTTCTTTGATTGCAAAATTAAGATCTTTCACCAGAAAATCTCCTTCAGTCAAAGGATTATTAAATTACTGGAATTCGCAATCAACAAGCATCATAGAGTCTGAGTCCCTGGAGATATTCACATAATCCCTGGAAAGACATTGGATTTGGTTGGGAGTAATTCCTACATATTCAGCGATGACAATGATGATGGGGACATCAAATGAGGAATGAAATGCTCCAGTTTTCTCCCTGACTTAAGTAGCTACAGCCCATTTCACTGTTTTATTTCGTTAGTAGAACCCCAAAAATAAGAAATCAGGAGACCATTGTGCAATAATACATGGAAATATATATTCATATTGTACATGAATGACATTTGTATATTTCAGATTATTTAGTTTTTTGTGCAATAAGCCTATGCCCTCTTGTAATTTAAAGAATTTCAGCCATGTTAATCTTTTTGAAAATACAGCAGAGAAGCATCAAAATATAAGAGGCCGCATACTTTATTAACCAAAGTAGAAGCAATCCAAGATATACAAATGTCATTTATGTATAATAGGAATATATTTTTCCATATATTATTGCACAATGATCTTTTAATTCCTTATATTTAGGCTCCACTGACGGAATAAAACAATGAAATGGGCTGTAGTAAGTTGCTTGTGCTTACTGAACAGTGTGGGCTTCATGGCCTCCTTCCTGGGTAACTTCTGTATTTTTGTTTTAAATGATATGTTTATATTATGTCACCTTGAACACAGCACAGATATTAGACAGCTGACTTGTAGTCACATTGACATGTCAACGTATTCTGTCTTGTTCCAATCTATATATATACATATTCAGGTTTTTCATTGTACAGAAGTGAGAAAGTTAAAGCCATACATTATCAAATCAGGTATTAAAATATAAAGCCAGGGATTATCCAAACTCAGGTACCATGATATAAAGCAAGGCATATGATATAAAGGTAAGACACCATAATATATAGCCAGGTATAATGATATAGAGGCAGGCACCATGATTTAAAGCCATATTTAGATATTCAAAGATTTTATTATAATGATATATTTTAGGCTATACAGATTTGAATAGAGAGCATTTTGTGGAACATACTATAGTAGAGTTTGGTTTATTATGTCAGGGAGACCTTATTATGCTCTAGTGGTGGTGCTATAGTATTTACATTGTGGTCAAGGCTATTCCTGTTTGTAAACAATCTAGGCCTTGAAACCATTGTAAGCCATAGGGCCAGCATTGTCTCAACATTGAATATATTCAAGGTTAACAACCTTCAGGCCAGCAATGCTGCATTATGTAATGTCTAATGAGCTCAAGGCTGTTTAAAGCAGATACTTGAATATTCTCCGAGACTCAAACAAACTGAACACATTCGTTTACTTATCAGATTGTTTACTGTGTTTTGTTGTTGAGCATTTCAAAGGTCAACTCCTAGGTATCCATGTAGTAACACAGGCTTTGGATTGATGTGTACTTTAAGTCCTCTAAGTTTTGAGTTTTATTTCAGAGCAGTTTTTTCTCAATTTGCTTAAGGTCATATGCAAATAGATAGGCAAGACTCCCCGATCAACTCATAAATTAACTTAGATGTTTCAAGGGTGATCACCTGACTTAATGTATGTATATAAACCATTCATCTCCTTCTTCTGTTTGTGCTTATGTATAGTGGGTTATTTTGACAACTAAAAATGATAAATATAAAACAGCATTATTGCCTAGTCTATTTATATCTTTAGCATATTATAAACTTTTTTGTTGTTGTTTGTTTGACAGATTTTTTACGTATGAGCAGTAGTAACTTTGTTGGATGCGCTGAGAAACGAAAAACAAAAACTTGAAATAATATACAAATAGCATAAGATATACTCATTAATCATTATACATATTTCTAAGTAATTTCATAATTTTTTTGAATTAATATTTCTTAATAATTAATTGGTGTCTTACTTTATACCATGTCTGATACTTTACACATTAAAATAATGTTTGCAAAAGTGTGTTTACTTTTACACATGTGTGTAATTTTGCAGTTTGGTCTTAAATAAGAATTAAGAATTAAGGAAGTTGTGCACTTTCAGAAAAATTGAAAAAGTTATTTGTGCAATTATCATTTGAATAAAATACTAGACATCCACATAAATTAAAAAATATTTTACCTTATCTATTAAGTATTGTTGGCCGGCCATTGTCATCATGAGAATTACATGAAAATGTTCATCTTGTGGATAAAGACTGTTGTATCATCTCTTTGATCTGGTTTATAATTAATTTGATCAAATGGAGCTTTACTGTGCCTTTATCAAGTGCAATTATTCCGCATAAGCATCAAAGCCAAAAACTAAGTGATTAATAACTTAATGATTTTTATGCTTTAGTAAATATGAAATGACAATAAATTATAATGGGATTTGAATGTTCTGTCTGGGAGAAATACTGCCACTGGATATTCTCTTTGAGGCTACTTTTATTGATTATGAAACTGCTAAGATCTACTTTAGTCTATTGACTTTACCCCTTGTAATCATATACAGTACTTACACATAATCATATACAGTATATAGGAGATGAGAAAGTATATGTCTGTCTATAAGAAAATGTTAATGTGTTTCAGAGACGAAGAGGGGAACACCAATCAAAACCAACCACTGGTGAAAGACACGTCTCCTTACGTTACACCAAAGACGGAGCCCATCAGTGAAGAGCCTCAAATGGGCCGACCCCCAGGCCCAACAATGGCACCATCCCATCATATGTCAAATATACCGCCCCATATGCAACCTCATAGCCAAACCATGGGCTCAATTGGCCCCCAACACAGCATTCCACATCACCCTCCACAGCCCCACCATCACCAGCACCAGATGCCATCGCAGAGTATGGCCATGCCCTCTCAGTCTCACATGCCCCAGTCTCCTGGAGCTGGCCACATGGAAGCACAAAGCTCTACAGGGCCCAGTACTTCTGCAGTGGACTTGCGTAAGAGAGAGGAACCAACGACTGGATCTGGTAAGTGATCTAAAACTGAATTTGAATTCTTTTATATGTTTTTATAATTATACATGTATAATTGCAAGATTTTTAGTGTTGCTTTTACCAAGTTTGGAAATTATATACTGTGTGACCTCTGTAGTCTGATAAGTAAAACCATCAAACATAATTCTTTAAGTTATTGCTCAATATATAGAAAACTGCTGTTCTAACTAAACTGTTTTCCATCTTCACTCCTGCCACTGATGCTAATACATGTTCATATATGTATCATTTAGGTGCTGTGATCCGGCACTGTCAAGTATGCAACGATACGGCATCTGGCTTCCATTATGGGGTGTGGTCTTGTGAGGGTTGCAAGGCATTCTTTAAGCGCAGTATACAAGGTACGTTTCATATCAATGCAATTGAGGATCAACAGTTTAAGATTAGATGACAGCCTTATTAATATTACCCAGAGAAGATATCTGAAAATTTAATGTCTTTCTCGGGATGTATTTAGGGCTAGGGCGAGGATTTTGGATCTAGTGGTTTACTGACGTTATTTAGCTTTAAATACATAGTTACAGTAAAAATCATTGGACATTCACACAGTTGCTCATCTTGCACCCAGTTCTCAATTAACATTTTGAACAAAGTACAAAATACAAAGCTTCTTGAAAAGTTTTTCATCATCAAGGAGAAAAACTGAGACAGTGTAGTGGACTAGTGGTGCCCTATTGTAAGGACACTCACTAAATTAACTTATCTGACTCTCGTAAAAGAATGGAGATGTTGCCTCATTTGAAGCCTTTCTTGAAGCTTTGTGTTTAACTGGATAGTCATTCCACTCTTTTTTTAAGTGATCAAACTTATAATGAGAATGAGGAGCACAAATCTAAGAAGGAATGTTAAATAAGAGAGCTTGGAATTTAATTCTGTTCCATCCTTCATCAAAATTTTATGATGATATTCTTCAGGTCCTGTTGACTATATGTGTCCTGCAACTAATACATGCACGATTGACAAACATCGACGAAAGAGCTGCCAGGCCTGCAGGCTTAGGCGTTGTTTCGAATCTGGGATGAGCAAAGGAAGTAAGAATCGGCCCAAAATTCTCATTTTGAAAATTGCATGAATAATATAAGCATTTTCTTCTGAGAGACTAAAAGTAGAGTGAGTCTGTAAAATATGTTTTTGATAAAATGTTGTTTGGTGGTAAGACACATTTCAATGTCAAAATCTAAATATTTAAATTGTTATTTTTGAGAAATGTTACATAAATTTTAACACATTGGGACCATGATCTTAATGGTTACCTATTTTGTTTGTGCGCTACCGTAGTGATTACACGACGTGGCCGCCAAAGTTCTGCCGGCAAAAGTGGGCATTCCAGCGAAGGGAAACGCAAACTTATGGAGGCTGATTGTGGCAAAAGTGATTCCACGACTTCTTCTTCAAAGGTAGATTAGTTTGCTACTCGCTATCATACTAAGCAACCACTAATGCCGCTTCGTTTTTTTCTTTGGTAAAATTGTAGCAAGTACCAGAAAAGAACGCCGCAATTCAGGTCAAGGTCGAAAGAGAAAGGATGATAAGCAGGACAATCCGGTGCATTCATCTACTGGCCCCCATGGTCCTGTCAAGGTAATTTCAGCCAACGTCCCTATCAACATGAATATATCTTTCTTTTAGGTATTCTCCATAGTATAGACATCTTCCTTGATCTTCCTCAATCTTCATAGATCTTCTTAGATCTTTCTAGATCACCCTCAATTACTATTGATTTTCTGTTCATCTGTGTTATGGCCTTTTCTGAACACATTAATATATTGAATCATATTGCACTTTTAAATGTAGTTAAAAGACACCCACATTAGGTGTAGTAATCTAATAGTCTATAAGGATTTCTCTTACTCTAATATCCCTTGGTTTTACTTTTATGCACATCTTTTATCTATTAAACTCTGGGAATAACTTCATTACTCTGATCGTAATTGAATAGAAAGTGGTGTCTAAAAATGTTTCAAAATTTCATGGAGAATGAAATAATGGAAATGGGCAAGTTATATCTAAGGTTTGGTTTTTGTAGTCTAGCTACAAGCTTCTGTGACCCCCCTTTCCCTCTGCGTGACTAAACACCTTCTCACACAGAGTTGCTGTAATAGTGAGTGGGGGCGTTGGGTCACAAGGGCTTAGTTTTTGAAGATGACTAGGATTTAGAGGGTTCTTTGAAGTAAATAGTCTCAGTAAACTCAATTCATGAGACTGTGGCACAAGCTGGTGCACTGAATCAATGGCATAAGCCTATTATGTATGAATCAATTGATGCTTTATTTCTTGGAATTTTGGATTAAGTCCCATGTACATGTTATTTATAATCAGGAGGATTATTTTTGAGTCATCAGTTTTTGCAGATGTAATTTAATAAAGGATATTAGGTCACCCTCTCCTCCTTCATGAAGGCTTATGCATATCTGTCATCCATGTTAATTTCAAGATTATTACTTTAAACTGTACCTACTCCTGTTAGTCCATTTGATTGGTAATTCAAAAAGGTTTTTCAAAATGGGAAATTAAATATATGAAGGTTTGTGATTGAATTGGTTGCCTCACCATTTACAGGCCTTATACTGAACATGAGTTGATTAAATCCTTTTGCAACAAATATGTGTTTTCATTTGACACTCTCCTAGACTTGTCTACATCTTCTACCTTAAATATATACCTGTGCCTGACCTGAGTTCTAATTCTTTGTTATTATGTACTTTAACAGGTAAGTTCTAGAGATGAGCTGAGATCTTATGGTTTGATCTTAAATAATCTTTAATTTTTCTAGTAACATGTATATCACAATTTCACTATGCTTCTGTATTGCTTTAGCTTAGCATTAATGTTGTACAATGTGTTAAATAAACTGTAATATGAGAAGATATCTTATGATTTATGGAATATTACTTTTATCCACAAGATCTTGTGGATAACTGCATGAGTGAGCGAGTGGGTGAGATATGAATGCATAAAGTCATTAAAAGGTCTTCTTTATCTGTACTCTTTTAGTTTCATTATTGATAATACTAATTAGAAATTCACAGGCCTTACCATAAGGTATCATATTACATGATTGAGAAATATTTTTTTTGGCATGATATTTATTATATTTATTTTATTTAAGTGTCATGGTTAATAAATACACTAAAATTTCATAAAACAACAATAACCTAGGCCATCATCGACCTATAAGACACTGACATATTACATGAATAACACCCTACAATGTATAGTATATATGCAGGATGGAACAATATTTTAGGAATTATAGGATAACAAAGATAAGAAAAGGAAAATAATATTTTTGAAAGGAGTATTAATTTGGGGTGAATGGGAATGACAAAATATTTTGGCTCATGATAGAATCTGACTTTACACTGGAACATACATTCCATGTCGCCACACTAAACGATGGCATGATACTTGGTAATAACCATGTTGTAGTAGATCTTAACTTAATGATTTTTCAATCTAAAGCTGTATTAAAAGTCAATGATAGCTCCATTAAAACTTTTTAGAAATTCATTCAATCATTATACTGTATTATATACATTTTGTTTTAAAGACAATTGATTTCCTGCCTTAATGGCAGGATCTATTAAAAATTGTTCTGATATATCGTGGAAAACTAGTGAAGTTGAGAATGAAAATTAGTTCCATTCATTTTACACAAGATTTGCATAATATTTGTTTAATATAGGATGTTTTTATTAACAAGTCTCCTATATTGCATTATTTACATGTCTGTATGAGTGAGGGATTTAAGGGTCAGTATTTCAGTGTATCAAAGAGTCATTTCAGATTGACCCCCTTTCCCCAAACATTTTCATGAACATTCATTGATTTTTCTCTATTTTGAAATTGCTCCTTTTAAAAATCTGTTTTCCAACAAAGCAAAATGTACTTTTAATGCCTTTCCAAATACGATATTCCTTTGCCGATTTACATTATCACGATACACGATATATTAATCTTCTCCCTTTCTACATGTTTCATTCAAGTATGAATGTGCATACACAAATACTAATACTGTATATATATATACTCTGATCCAAAGATTAAAATTATTTGGGTGTATTAAATATGAGTATCTCAATGGATACAACTGGATATAATTCAAAAGGACAATTGCCACTAATAATTCACATAAATATAGTCGAAAATCTGTATGTTTGGAATAAACTGAAATATGAAAAAACAATACCATAAAAATTATGTTTGATATTTCCAGGTTAAGCGTGAGTCTGCCAACAGCATGCATCCAATTGTTGAGCAGCTGTTAGCTGCTGACCCACCTATACTGAACAGTGAACATGACCATAGTATCCCAGACAGTGAGACGCATCTTATGACATCACTAACAAAGCTAGCTGACAAAGAGCTGGTTTATATGATCAACTGGGCCAAACATGTTCCAGGTTTGTACATAATACATAATACATTCTTCCACATATATTTCTAAAAGTGGCATTTGTTTATATTATATCTGCATTGATAGACTAAGGAAACATTTCTACCTTGTAAAACCTTTTGCTTGCTTTTTATGAGGATTATAGAGGTTTTCTTTCCCATTGCCATATCTTTTAGCCATTTTAGATTGCAATATAAAGAAAAAGAAAAACGGGTCAATGGGTCATATTTCCCCAAAATTCTGCGGAACATGACAACACTATTGCATGAATTAAACTCAAATCTTAAAAACACTTACAGAAATGTCTTAGCTATATACATATCAATTTTCTAAGGAATTGCATCAGAAATGAGGAAATGAGATCCAAATAGAAAAGGTGGACTTTTTTTGGCCCACCCTGTATACCATTTGTTTGAGGTAGAATTATATCATTTCTATGTTTAGGGTACACTGATCTGACCTTGAATGACCAGGTGCACTTACTAGAGTCCAGTTGGTTTGAAGTGATAACATTAGGGATTGCACAGAGATCCATGCCCTACCGTGGGGAGAAACTGGTCTTTGCCACTGACTTAATCATGTGCAGGTATGTGCAGTTGTTATATTAGCTCAATCACATGTACATATAAATATATACATGTATAGCTATTTACTTTGGTAGAATTCACCAAACTAGACTCTATACATAATTTAAGGTGTTTTTCACTTAAAGGGTTCCAATAAGCTTCCCGAAGGAAAACAATATGGCGGCTCCAGGCGAGTCAACTGGATCAGTCCATTTTTAAGAAATAAGGGGCGTTTTGGAAAATCCGGTTAATTGAAATTGTCTTGGAGATAGAGTAATCCGTTTATAATGATTCTGAAATCATTATTGAGAGAGTGATTGTTCAAAGAATGCATGTACAACAGTCAATATAAATCCTTGTATTAGAACTGCTTTGTTTCATTTTGAGGATATTCCATATGCCAAGCTGTGTACTAATACATTATGGGGAAATTTAGATGTCAATTTTTTCTTATTATACACAAATACAATATCCCAAAGCTTCACCCATAAATGTGAAATTGATTTGTCAATTGTCTCCCTTTTATAAATGCGTGACGATCTATGATATACTAATGCTATATAACAGTTAGAGGCACAACAACCTTGAGCCTGTGAACCCTTGACATTGCTCAAGATTATTCTGGGATCAGGCCTTTTAAACTAAACAGTGAGCAACACCAGAAACGAGCGTTCGATTTGCTAAACGATATGGTTCACCCTTTTACATGATGACAAGTTAACTGTGCCTTATCAACAGTGAAAAAGAAGACATATTGTTATAGTCTCCAACTTTTTTGTGAATGGTGATTGCTTGTTAGTATTTGGCGATAGGCATCTATAACATTTTCCATGTTAATGTCTTGTATGTTTTTTTGTTTATAAGTTATAAGAATTTACATGTTTTTGTTCTAGAGAGAAGTGTCTGATCGCTAGGTGTGCAGAGGTGTGTGAGCTCATCATGGGTGTGTCCCGCACCCTGGTGGAGCTCAGTGTCAACAAGGAGGAGTTCGTGCTCATGAAGGCAATGTGTCTCATCAATGCAGGTCAGTGGACACAGTGTACAATTAACTATGGGTGACACTTCATGAAATTCTATATCCTCAGTAAAGAGTTAGAGCAAAAATTCTTCACAGCAAGCTATCTCTATTCAGAGGCTAGATCTTCTCATTCAGTATAGTGTTAATATCTGTTGCTAATGTTGCATTTGTTGTATTGAAAATCCATCTCAATAATGCAAGTGATCTGTCTATATGTTACAGAGATCAAGATACTGGATAGCAGACCAAGGATCTTGCAGATACAAGACATGCTTGTTGATGCCTTGAGGGATACCACTCAACGTCACTATGCTGGCGATGTACGACGTCTTAGTCGCCTTCTTCTCCTGATGCCCCACATACGCCATGCATCACTGAGGGGGGTGGCACTTCTGTATAGCATTAAGAACGAATCGTCAATTCCGATATGTGATCTGTTGAGGGAGATGCTGGATGCCCAAAGCATCTCGCAGCGTAATGCACTGCGTAACCCTAGCCAAAGTTTGATACCAACCCATCCTGGTTTAGCACAGCCACCCTCACAGCCACCGCCCCACCCTCCACACTTGCCATGAAACTATATACAACGGATATAGGATACTATGCTACCAGGATACACCGCCAGTTATCCTTAGCTAGCTGCTCTTCAGTCGTCACCAAGACAACAGTTCTGTTTGCTGTTAACTGTCACCAAGACAACAGCTCTGTTATAAACTGTCTTGGTTGGTCTTTATTGCTAGAGTATAGCCCTTCGTCTAAATGTCAGATAGCCGCATATGTGACACTATGTGAGCCAAACAGCACAACTACAAGAGAGGACCAAGTTGTTATAGTACAAACTCAGCTCATGGTTCTCAGGCTGTGAATCTGTGCAAATAGAAACTGTGCTGTGTCACAGTTGTGTCTAGAGAAAGCCTGTTAGAGGGCTTTGAGGTGTCCCCAGCCCTTCACACTACAGGAAGGTATCAGCAACATGGGCTATGAAAACAGCCATAATTAACTGGAGGGAGATAGTCACGAGGAGATATTTCACCTAGGAGTGATCAGTTGTTGAAACAGGATCAAATACAATTTATCTGTTTGTAACCGTTGAATCTTGTTTTAGTAACAGCATGTCCCACTTGAGTTTATGAAATTGGAACAATTGTTGGATATTGTAAAACAATTGTTGGATATTGTACACTATTTCGTGCCATTGGAACCAAAAATATTGTGTCTATGTGCCATGCGAACAAATGGAAGCAGACATGTGATATTATGTCCATTGGGAGCATGCGTTAGACATTTTACCCATTGGGAGCATAAGATGAATATTGTTCCATGTGGGAGCATAGATTGGATATTGTACCAAGTGGGAGCATAGATTGGATATTGTTCCAAGTGGGAGCATAAATTGAAGAGGTGGCCATATCATCTCAGGAAACCATGAAACACATACTACCTCAATGCTTTGTGACCCATACTTGTCACTTTAAATTCGTAGATAGAGATTATTGTATATTATAAGCTCAGAATGTCTGTCTTTAATTGAGCTAATTGCCAAACACTACAAAACACTACCTGATAGTATCTGCTTGTCATTTAGAGTACAGTCTATGCATGGTAAAGAGTAGGGGTGAGACGAGTCGAAAAAATCCGATTCGAGTCGAATCTGATTTGAGTCAGAAAATGACGATTCGAGTTTCGAATCCGTTTCGAGTCAGATAAAGTGCGAACAACATCGCCTTTGACCGTTCGTATTTTTAATGCGTCAATGGTGGAAAGCCGAAAATATAAACAAACACAATTCGTCGTAAGTTTATTCTGATTTTATTACATATATTCTTTCATTTATGTGTACATACAATATAATAATTTAATACAAGCATATCCAAGTCATTGAAACTTATATATTCAACGCAATATAGAGTAAAAACATGCATATTGACAGTATTTTTCTGAATTTTTTTATTTTTTCGAATTTTTTTCTCAACTCGAAAATGATTCGATTCATCAACTTCGGCTCGATTCGACTCGACTCGAAGCCCCAAACCCGCGAGTCCTCGACTCATCGGGTTGTCGTCTCACCCCTAGTAAAGAGTCAAGAACTGGCTGAAGGTGAGCCAATTGTCCATTGATTATTATAGGGCAATTTTTGAGCTTTGCATTATACTGTACCTATAAAGCTATTAGATAGTGTTAAGTTGATACTGTTTGATAGTGTTCTGTGCCATAACTGTGAATTCACTACCTACTGTGCCATATTGTTGGAGGTGAAACCTTATATGCTTAAAGTATGCTTTATTTTATAAATATTTAAACAGTGTACAATATGATATGAAATACAGAAATGTAATTCTGACTTCTTTGTAACAGAGTCACATAGTTTACTATGTGAACAAATATGAAATTCAAAAAATTTTCATTGATTTGATTTGTGATTAAATTATGATGTCCTTAAATAGGTGGTAATATATTTAGAATATTGTATTCATAAATACCTGTGAACTTTTCCCAGCTCTGATTCATTTTTTTTGTCACAAGAAAAGGCATTTCAACCCACCTGACAAAAATTTAGTAAGATGTGAAATACCAATTCAAATTTGGGAAGAAATGCTCTAAACATTTAACTTTTCACCCATGCTTCTTCAAATTTTTGGTTATGGAGTTGATGACAAATTAAAAAATTAAAGTCCCCGTTCTCACAACTAGGCTCAAATAATGAGGGAGGGGGGTGAAGTTGTATCGGTTGTACACTGTTTGAAACAGAATTTATTATGTAGCTTGTACATACTAGCTGCTTATTGTGCCATTGAATGTGCCATATAACTGGCATAGACTGCCATGTACATGTATTGTATAGATATATATATAACGCCACTCTCAATTTTCTGTGCCATAGGAGCGTTACTGGTAAAATTCTGCAAGCCATAGCTATTATTATGTGATTATTGTCGAGAGGGTACAACAGAAATCTGCCATTGTGTACCATATTTACTCAGTTGATTGTAAAATAGTAATGTAAGTGTACATTAGGTACTATTAGGTATTAATTTCTGCAATATAATACTTTGGAATTTCATACATCATATATTTGAATGTGCATTTTTGAAAACAGACCATGTTGTAGTAATGGGTTTATGGTGCTTTACTAGATTTTGAATCCTGCATTTTAAAAAATCACTGTTATATTATTCTTAGTGTTAAAAGATGCATTTACGAATGTCGCGTTTTGAAACAAAAAAGAAATCTAATAATGCTATGTGATTATGAAATTATTGTACTTATTCATTCCAATCAAAGATACCTATCTTTGATATTGGCTTTGTATGAAGAAGATGTCTTCAATGAAGTATGGTTGTATACTTGTGGTTCATACATTTGACTCATGTCATAAATGCTTTTGCTTATTTGTGTTTGTATAGTATTTGTACGAGTGAGAGAGCATAATACTATTGTTAAAATACTCATTGTGATTCTCATAATCATCTGGAACTCCAGAATATGGGAGATTCTATGAGTATAATAACCAAGGGGTAAACCTTAAAGGCAAGTGTAAATAAATAAAATGTTTAGCAGCACATCCTCTTGATCTAATCTACAGGTAGACATAAAAAATAAAATCAAAATCTAAAATTTTAAATAGCTCTCTGAATTATGACAGACTCTATGAATTTTGTTGTATAAAGATAGATTTCGAGAAGATTACATCATAATTGAGCAAGTTATTCAAAACATGGATTATAATTTTGTTTTTTGTACGACCCTGTTTTTCAAATTATATATAATCAGTAAGCCACGCAGCAATCACAATTCTAACATACATGTAATTCATCTATTTTGGCTTCAATGTATATTTAATTTATTCATGTACAAAAATTTTGACTCTCTTCAAACAAAGACAAGATGACGCTAAACATAGAATTTATTGCTCTGGCCTGGCTACATTCAGCTCCTAAAATTATCATTTGCTCTGCTTAATATCAGAATCAAAACAAATATGAAATAATCTAGAAAGTGAGTTGTTCGATTCCATTGTGTGAATCCCTCCTATTGTAACAATACACTGTATTTGCAATGGTTGAGATTATGTGTATCGTATATATTTGAAAAAGATCTCAATTTCATTGGATGAAATTAATTAAGTAGAAACTGGATACTTGTCTGCATAACCTTGTTTCAATAAAATAGCACCTGGAAAGTGTTACATTCATAATTCTATTGTATAATGAAATGGTGTTCTTGAACAATATTACATTTTGTATCGATTTATGAGATTTAAGTAAAGTTTGTTAACTGGAATAACGTCTCTGATCCACAGTAGGATGATACTAAAAGATGTTATCCGTAAACTTTGATTAAGGAGATTCTGGATCATTAACTCATAAACAAATTAATCCATAAGATGTTCTGTTTTATAATGTACCCTTCTATGTAACCCCAAAGGTTGTTGTTTCTCAACATTCTTAAATAAGAGATACTTAAATCAACTGTTCATGATAAGAGAACAATAGAATTAGGAATTCAAGTTTTAAGAATGCTTTGAGAAACATACCCCAGCTTCATATTCCTTTTTAAGTAGTTCATATATATATGCCTTTAGATTAACATTGTGATAGTCAAACTTAACTGTGATGCTATGTGATTGAGACAGATTTGTAATATTATACTGGCGAACATTTCTGTTGAGAGAGCATTAGCATCACACGTGGCAATGCTTTTTGGCATATCTGTGAATTGACTCTGTATTCTGTCTTTACTAAATAGCAGTGCCCACATAAAGGTTAGGTACACTGATATTTGTAGGACTTGGACGTGAACATGTCTCTTTATATCATATATCAATATAAACAAGAGAAGTGTTTTCCTCCGGGTATGCAGCACAACCTTATTTGATAAAATGTTCCATAAAAACATATGAGAACATGTACATTTTATGAAAAATATTTGAGTTAATATCATTTGGGTGTTTTTGAATGAAAGCTTTCTTCACACTGCAAACATTCTCTTGATTTCATAGTATTATGAGTTCAAGCAACTACAGCATAGCATTCAATATGTATTAAGTGCTGATCAAAAGGCTGTTTGTATCTTTTTTGTTGTTTTATATCTCATTCATTTTTTTGTTGGAACATTATTGTACATGTATAAATTCAGAGTGACATTGTGAGAATCGTTGGTTTAACTTTCACATCTGTTCACAAACATATGGGACATGTTCACGTCTATTTTCATTTGGTACTGTCAAAAAATAACATTGCAAATGGTGTGCATGTTATTTTGACCAACAGGTCCCAAATCCTAATGGTAGCAAAAGCTCTACTAAATGATCTTCATTGTTAGCAAAACCTGTGAACATGAACACTGGATTCTACAAGTACCTGTTTCGTGAAGTGGCTGGAGGTTAGAGGCTGTTTCGTTAAAAGTGAAAATATTTTCTGTACATAACCTCCCATTAAAAAATCACACTTCGGATTAAAGATTGTTTCATTAAAAAAGTGTAGGTTAGTGGAATTAGGATACTGCAGAATTCAGTGTAAATTTGCGATGACCACTGATGTGTATGGTGTACACACTTTATAAGTGGAAATCATCCAAAATGCTCACATTTCCCAGGTTTTGCATCAATTTCATATTTGGAATTCCCTTTTGATAAACTGGATCAACTGACAAGGCATTTCCAGCTGATGCATTTACATTTAGATTATGAAAGATGTTAATATACAGGGTGACCAAAAACACAACCCTCTAATTTTTATATAACTCAAATTTGGAGGAGTCTTTGAAATATGTGAAAAGAAGGTTCCATTATAATTGAATTTTTTTATTTTATTATTTTAATTAGAAGGGTAAATTTTTGGTGTCACCCTGTATCTACACTGTTTGACAATTCTATACATTGTGTAATGAGCAAAGTAGAAAATGAAATTTTTTAGACAATGTTTTTGCACCTTGTGAAATGCAATTCGAATTGTTTTGCATGTTCTAAAAAGGCATGCAGCTCCTTTTTATTTGAATTATTAGGTGTTGTACACTGGATTTGAAGCTACTGTCTATGCGCTAAAATTTTCATGAACCAAACTTAAGGAAATCATATAAAAAAATATGTAAAGCCTACAATAAGTATTCTATATTCTAGATTTAAAGGTTTTTGATCATCTGATGAAATGTACTTTAAAATTGAAATGCATGATTTTGAATATTCTGTCTGTATGATGTAGGATTAATGTTATCAAACATGCACTTTTTATGCACATGGAATTTTAAAAGTTATTTTTTTGAGGAAATTTGTGAAACTTGAAGCATTAATTTTGAATCTTAGAATTCTCTTAAGAATGTCCAATGTTTTCTTATTCCATTATTGCTGTAAAACAATTTCAACCTTCTATAAATATATAAAGTACATTTTGTATGCAAAGTGTATATGTGCATTGTGCATATATGTATATTATATGCAGTATATGCATACGGTGACACTATATGTGCATACTATTTTAGTAAATCGCTCCCTGTACACTCCCAGTGTATAGTATATACACACAGTTTTGTCCTATAATGTATATAGGAGATCCAAGATCAACAAAACGTGGTGCTACCATGTCTATTAAACTCAACAAAGTTGTAAACTTTTTGTTTGTTAGACATGGTGCTCTGTGATGATATCACAGCCACCAAGTAGGTAGGGTAGATCTATGTGGAAACTTTGACTCTAAATGTATCAAGGGTGAATGTCAGGGTCTTCTGCATGTCTCTATTCCTGGTGAACACAGTTGTCATGAAATTATAAGTTTATATTCCACAACCAAGTTTCTAAAATTCCAAAACACCAAGTTTTTTTTAAAATATAAGTTTATATTCCAAGTTCATCTTAAAAACCACTTAATACCGACATTTATAAGAATAAGATTTTATGAAATATCCAGTTTAGTTTTTCAAAATTAAGATTATACAGTACTATTGAGTACGATCTTTTATAAAAATTTAGTTTCATGAAATATGAAATGCATATTTCCAAAACCAAGTTTCTAAAATACCAACTTTACAAGAATTTACTTTTTTGAAATATTACGTTTGTCTTTCTGCAATCGAGTTTCTAAGAATCCATTAAATTCAAACGTTGAGTTTATTTTCCATAACCAAGCTTCTAAAATACTACTGAATTAAGTTATTCATTGAAAAACATAAATGTCATTTCATATTTGTTGTGAAACAACAACATTAGTTTTAATCTAGAATTGTTGAAATACAATGGCTTGTCATAGACCATGGAATATCAATTTTGATCACAGAATATCAAGTATATCTCATGGACATTTGTCACATTGTACAAGGTTTGTCACTGATACCATATTCTCTGATTGAATGCAGTTTTATCACTGAATATCAAGTTTGTGTCAATGAATGTCATAATAATGTCACTTCATGTCATAATAATGTCACTTCATGTCATAATAATGTCAATGAATGTCATAATAATGTCACTTCATATCATGCTTCTTTCAAAGAGTATCAAATTTTCGAAAGAAATGTGTTTTCTTTTTCAGTTGAATGCAATTATGGTTAATAATTCCAATTTGTTTTGAAACATCAATGATTTTGATGCACTTCCATTCGTCAGTTTTTACATTTGTGTAAAATATAACATGTTAAGGATGGATAAGTGTCTAATAAGAGATGGTGTCTTTATTTATCTTCCTTTGTTGAATGATTGATTCAAAGCATAAATCATGCACATAGGAATAAACAAAAGAACATACATGTAATATTAATAATGTTCAAAAAATAAACTCAGTTGTCAAATGAAAAAGTGTGATGCATTTAGTAATGGATATTTTCTGTGATACTTATATAAATGTACAGTACCTTAAAAATAATTTGTAAAGCTATCTGTTATACTTCACTTGTTTCCTATATTCATTATTTTAGTAATATAGTTTGTGAAATACCTAGGATATAGAAATTATAAGCTTTCGGCAGTTCTGTCTTTCAGATGTTTATACTATGTAGGATAAATAAATATAGGTCATAAATTGTATATATATCTTTGTTCGTTTTTATGTCCCATGACAAGAAGGATTGGCTCCCAGGCCTCCAACTTGATATTCTGCCATTATATGGAGATTTCATGATTGAATTCAAACAACCATTTTGTTCACCTCAGAATTTGAATCAAGAGTTCTGGTCTTATTTCCAAACAGAATATTCCAAAACACACTAGAAATGATTGTTCATTGTTGGAAAATTTTGAGGTTCGTCCCTGTAAGCCATTCCTCCTTGGTCCCATGATGTATGTAAGAGGCCTACCCTCAGCGAATTGAGAGAACATATTTTATACAAATCCAAACAATTAATCCTGAATGACTCAAAAAGTGATTTTTCTGTAAGTTGTGGTAATCTTTAGACTGAAATCACTACACCAAGTGAGTCCAGTGCTGAAGGTACTATTTATTTTATTTCAAGTTTATCATTCTAGTTTATAACATTATGACATGGCACTAAAGAAAGTGTACATGCGTCAACCTTCCTTGTTACTCATTTGCCCATAGCTATCACTGCATTTATTACACAGATCTTGTGACAGTCCTGGTCTTCTCACGACAGTCTGCATCATGCTGCCAGTAAATAAAGGAATGGGGTAATGCAAGTGAGACGTGATTGATAGACTGATATCACAAACTGGATCTTATTTTCTTCTTGCAAAATCACAGGTTTTCAATTATCAATCAGTAGTCAATGAACTTATCTCCCACATGTTTATTTATCATTAGGCAGTTCATGATTACTTTGTCAGGTAAATAGCATATTAACTTGGTGATCTGACAATGATGGATAATGTATAGACACATTGAGCAATTACTGTGAATGTGACAGGCAATTTTAGACTCTGTTTTGCCTTAGATTTCCAAGCACTGACATTTTTGTTTAACTGGGAAGTTAGTGTAAATGAATACAAACAACATAATATTTTGATCTACAAGGTTCCATTAGCTCATGTCTCATATCTTATATACCTTCAACTTGTACATGAGATATACCATATAACGCAATAATAGAAATAAATATACAAATATCTTAAAAGAAAAGATTGAATAACCATAGATACAAGCAGGAACAGTACATAAAAGTTCTAAAGGTGTAAACCAAGAAACAAATGAACTTTATTTGTAGCAAAGAAATTAATGACATCAAGTCAACATGTGACAACTTTATTCGACACAAACCGTCTAATATAATAGCAGCTAATGTCGATGCAATTAGTTTATTTGATAAAGCAATGTGCTGAGGGTGCAAATCCTCTTAGCCCTGTCTTCACACACTCTTGTGCACAGTGTCCAATATTAGAGTCTCTGTATATGATACATTCGCCAAGGCATGCTACCCCACAAGCTCGTCCTAGTGCCCTCTTGTGAAGATGAGACTCAAATTTTCTCTCAGAACCAGTGTTCACAGATGTTGCTATTGTTACAATGGCAATCAGGAGAAATGATCCGAATACGAAAGTGATCTTCATCTGCAAGAAACAAAAAGATGATCCTATTTAAAATTACATGGATTTGCAAATGATACAAACCTAAGGCACTCCACCTCATAAATTTGGAATCCCCATTATGTCCATTTGGGCTATGACTGTAAAATGTGAACAAGTCAGTTGAGTAGGTCAATAGGTCATCTCGGTTTGGACATGATGTGAACACTTGCATTGGGTACTAGTAAGCTAACATTGGGTTTGTAAAAATATGTGAACACTTAGATTGGCCAACAATGTGTTTGGACATGATGTGAACACTTACATTGGGTAAGCTAACAGTGGGTTTCGCAAAAAATGGTCAAGATGTTAACACTTGGTTCGGCTCATTGGGTTTTGTCAAGATGTGATCGCCTGGGCTAGCTAAAATCGAGCTTGGACATTATATGAACACTCAACAATGTTAGCTAAAATCGGACTTGGACATGATGTGAACACTGTTAACAATGTTAACAAACATTGGACTTGGACATGATGTGAACACTGTTAACAATGTTAGCTTACATTGGACTTTGACATGATTTGAACATTGGTAACAATGTTAGCTTACATTGGGCTTGAACATGGTGTGAACACTGTTAACATGTTAGCTAACATTGGGCTTAGACATGATGTGAGCACTGTTAACAATAGCTAACATTGGGCTTGAACATGGTGTGAACACTGTTAACATGTTAGCTAACATTGGACTTGGACATGATGTGAACACTGTTAACAATGTTAGCTAACATTGGACTTGAACATGGTGTGAACACTATTAACATGTTAGCTAACATTGGACTTGGACAGGATGTGAGCACTGTTAACAATGTTAGCTAACATTGGACTTGGACAGGATGTGAACACTGTTATCAATGTTAGCTAACATTGGACTTGGACATGATGTGAACACTGTTAACAATGTTAGCTAACATTGGACTTGGACATGATGTGAACACTGTTAACAATGTTAGCTAACATTGGACTTGGGTATGATGTGAACACTGTTATCAATGTTAGCTAACATTGGACTTGGACATGATGTGAACACTGTTAACAATGTTAGCTAACATTGGACTTTGACAGGATGTGAGCACTGTTAACAATGTTAGCTAACATTGGACTTGGACAGGATGTGAACACTGTTATCAATGTTAGCTAACATTGGACTTGGACATGATGTGAACACTGTTAACAATGTTAGCTAACATTGGACTTGGATATGATGTGAACACTGTTATCAATGTTAGCTAACATTGGACTTGGACATGATGTGAACACTGTTAACAATGTTAGCTAACATTGGACTTGGATATGATGTGAACATTGTTAACAATGTTAGCTAACATTGGACTTGGACATGATGTGAACACTGTTAACAATGTTAGCTAACATTGGACTTGGACATGATGTGAACACTGTTAACAATGTTAGCTAACATTGGACTTGGATATGATGTGAACACTGTTATCAATGTTAGCTAACATTGGACTTGGACATGATGTGAACACTGTTAACAATGTTAGCTAACATTGGACTTGGACATGATGTGAACACTGTTAACAATGTTAGCTAACATTGGACTTGGATATGATGTGAACACTGTTATCAATGTTAGCTAACATTGGACTTGGACATGATGTGAACACTGTTAACAATGTTAGCTAACATTGGACTTGGACAGGATGTGAGCACTGTTAACAATGTTAGCTAACATTGGACTTTGACAGGATGTGAACACTGTTATCAATGTTAGCTAACATTGGACTTGGACATGATGTGAACACTGTTAACAATGTTAGCTAACATTGGACTTGGATATGATGTGAACACTGTTATCAATGTTAGCTAACATTGGACTTGGACATGATGTGAACACTGTTAACAATGTTAACAAACATTGGACTTGGATATGATGTGAACACTGTTAACAATGTTAGCTAACATTGGACTTGGACATGATGTGAACACTGTTAACAATGTTGGCTATCATTGGACTTGGACATGATGTGAACACTGTTAACAATGTTAGCTAACATTGGACTTGGATATGATGTGAACACTGTTATCAATGTTAGCTAACATTGGACTTGGACATGATGTGAACACTGTTAACAATGTTAACAAACATTGGACTTGGATATGATGTGAACACTGTTAACAATGTTAGCTAACATTGGACTTGGACATGATGTGAACACTGTTAACAATGTTGGCTAACATTGGGCTTAGACATGTTGTGAACCTTTGGGTTCATGATGTTAACACATGCATTGGGTAAGTTGATATTGAGTTTTATCAAAATGTGAACACTTAGCATGGCTGACATTATGTTTGAATTTGATGTGAACACTTGGGCTGTCATTGTCAAGATGTAAACACCTATGAACACTTGGGTTTGTTACCATTGTATTTACCATCTAAAGGCTTGATATGATGAAAATATGAAAGCACTTCTAGTCTATAGCTTGGGTTATCTTCTAACATTAATGGAAGCATGGTCAATACGCTAGGTTTAGCCTTGAGTTGGAATGATGTAATCCCCAGAACAATTATGGAACATTCAGATTACTTTGTAATACAGAACCAATGAAGAGAGATCACGTCCAAGAGATAATTGATATCTAACACCACCATACACATCATATTTCCCTAACAAACACATAGACCTGAAGTAATTCAAACCTTCCCATTTATCATAAGGACGGTCGTCTTTTTATCTCATGGTCTAAATATTACTTATTAAAGTTCATGAAAGTTTCATTTTACTGGTTCGGATTAACCCCATTGAAGGGGACACAAAAGATTATCGTGTCGCGTGTCTCCAATCAGACTCGATTCTTTGGGGACCAATACACTCCCCTCCAAGTCTCCTTTTAGACCATGACGTGGCGATTTTAAGAAATTCGTAAGAAATGGTCTTACATTTCTGACCTTGTAAGTGTAATTGAGAAATATAAGTAAGATTAAACAGACTTTTATTTTAGCATTATAAGGACTTCGGGTTAAAATTTTGTTTAAGACGGCGTACGGCTTTGACCAGCACGGTTTCCAGCATTTTCCTATGCAAATGTTGCACACGTTCATTACTGTCCTTTAGATCAATTACTCTTAGCGATTTTGTATTCACAGTGCCCACCTATTCTCAATTATTGTGAACAAATTTATTTTTCTCACATTTTTGATTTGAATAATTAATTAAACCGTCTGAGTAGTCTTCACTGTACTCCTTCTTTAATTGAGCATATGACAGCCGGAGATAGGAGACGATACTGTAAATATCAATGTTGTAAAATGGTGTAACCCCCACACATCATAAAATAGAAAACCTGATTAATTTAACAATTACCGATGGTTTCATTATCCTAAGAGCGACCCATGGCGCTCATGCATGATCTCAGATGGGCGTAATAGTGCTGCATTAACAATGTAGACCATAAAAGAACATTAAAGAAATGGGATGTAATTGAAACTTGAAACGCAATAATGTAATTGTACTTTTCTGGAATTAATTGTTTCTAGATTTAGCATAACCAACTACATTTCAATGATGAACTGTCGAAGGTAAATGAGATCGATCACATTGATAAGAGATACAAAAGTAATCTTTTAGCAAACCTTTTTTTGTAATCAGTATTCTAATCAACTTAGTCTAGGATTTCATAGAATTAGTAAACAGCCAGTATATAATATAATGCAAGTTTTTATGAAAATGATTATCTAAGAGTCCCAAAAGAGACTACAATAGGCTCGCGTGGTAATTACATAAATAACAATTCAATAGACTAGATGCGAGTAGAAATAATCTTGATTTACGTCATTAAAAATTTCAAATTCAGTCAAACTGGTGTCATATTTGAATCTACATGTGAAATTACAATTAGAAATATGGTTTTGAAGAGTCCATCGACTTTGAAAATGTGACTTCTAGGTCGCATAGACCTCATGTTGTAAACTTATAAAAAGTGAAAAATCTTTTCTTGTGTTGGGCAGAAAATATTTTCCATGTTGTAAAATCATAAAAAGTGAAATGTCTGAAATGAAATGAAAACACACAAAAAAACGGATTCAGGCACTTTAATTCTTTGATAAGTTTTCACTCTCTTCTACTTTATGTAACCAGATGCAGGTTGGGACAATCAATCCTCCTAACACATGCCTCCAGAACTCATACCTCCTCCAGGAAAAAGGAAGGAACTGAAGTTTGGAGCCCTGCGTTCGGAGGTTGGGACAATTTGTCATGTAAATGCCCTTCGTTACTGTCATTAATTTAGCTAAGCGATACAAAAGACCATAAACTTGACAAAAAACACTTAAAACGATTACAATACTGTACAATTATTTATGCAATAATCCAGAAAACGTTTCACGCTATTAGCTGCCATTGGGAAGTTGTCATCTGGGAGAAGCCCTTGTGACCAGGGATGAATAAGGTGGATGGAGGGGGTTCCAGAGACCTGATACAAGTCAATTTAACAAGACAATATAGGCGTTACAAAAATCTTAATAATATATAAAAGAGACAAAATTGGCATTCATGCTGCAGCCCAATTTTTGCATTCTTCCACCAGAAAGAAGGACGAGTAAGAATCACATAAATGTAAATTCCTTTATTTTTCCAAGAATAATGTATGCCATTTGGGGAAATTTATAAAATAAACATGACTAGGAATGTATGAGGCCAAGAAATTCTAAAATTTATAAATTGTAAAGGTTTTCTCACGAGATCTGATTCTGCACACGTGTCTTTAAATGTCGTTACGTAAAATTGTAACCGACCCAGTTCGTATCTCATTAGATGAGTTTTTGTCAAGGTTACATAATACATCGAAAATACAATTAGCTCTACGATATCACTATTCGATCCCTTTCACAAATTGAGAATCTTATCATGTTTCATATCTTTTTAATCATTCCAGATTATTACTAATCATGGCCTGTATATGAAAGATTTCTTTTGACCAACATAAACCAAATATCAATTGTCACTTCGATCCTAATTAGTATTAATTCGTTGTCTGATTTATTTGATAGTTACGTAATAATAAGATTATATTCAAAACTGTCTTAAGAGGTGAGGTGACCGACGTCTGTAGTATTTTTAGTATTCGTACTTAAAGGAGCAACAACGACTGGCGACTTTCTTTAAAAAAGAGTAACGATTAAAAATATGTTTTGCTTACAAACATTCTATGTCATGTTTTATTCATGAAAAGTCAAAAGGTTCTTACTTTACCTCAGAATAATGCTTTCATTTTAAGGTTATCTGTAAAGATTCAAAAAGTGGACTTCTCTCTTTTAATTCTTATGAACTTCAGTTTTTAAATCTTCAAGAACATCCATATTTGATAACATATCTCAATTCCCTTTATAAAAAAATTAATTTAAATTGCGAGGAAAACACATGAATGCTTTTTAAAAGATTGTTTTAAGTATCTTACACTTTTTAGATAACTCTTTTCTGCAACTATAGAAATTTTAAAAATCTCCATTATCTAAATCTAAACTAATATAATTCATAAAAGTGATAACTTTAGATGTGATTCAGTAAAAAAATCAGGAACCATGCCTCGTCATGTCATCGATGTCAAAATTCTAACTTTAATCACTTTAATTTCTTCCTAAAACTCAATATTTTAATTTAACTTATTAATGTATATTCTTTGAATTCTTTAAAGACATTTATCAAGTTCATGTATAGACTTACCTTGAGTTAGGTGTTCCCTTATTATCTTCCTTTGTAGCGTGTAGTTTAAGATCTTTCCACACTGCCCAGAAGACTTGTCTTGATTACCTTGCTTGTGGATACACCCGGTTATTACAGGTTATTAGTCCACAGTTGATTATGCGATTGTTGCAGAGTCGGAGGCGAACTTCTCTTTAAGACGAGAGTAGTGTGGCGGTTGCACATTTTGAGCTGTATAGTGGATACATCATTAGCATATTGCATACGCATGCTCCGAGCAGAGGTAATTTACCATTTCTCATGAACCCAAGTATAGTATTATTCTCCAATCATTTGTCGCACTTCTAGCTATGCATTTACCTTGCTTCCAATTATCATTCAAACCTTGAAATGTTTGGAGACTACTCTAAATAAAAGAGGCTCAAATTGATCAAAATTAAATCGGTTAGTTTATTATTACGGTTGAAGGTAAATGTCGCGCTGTTCTTGTCATATGCATACTTACTTCTAAATCTTTGCCAACACCACGAATTCCCTACTGAACCACGTTAGACTGTTTTTGTTTGGCAATTTTGTTTGGAAATCTTTCAGTAAATTTCAAACACTAAGCAAGCTTTAAGAGATTATTTCTTAGGCATTCAAGGTTGTCCAAGCTTTGGGCGATCTTAATCAAGAGGGATGAAAATCTGATTACAAATTACAGGCAATTACGATTTCGAATGCCAGCTTTTAGCATCATGATAAACCATGAAATCTCAAATCTTCTCAGCCCTGAGATGTTTCAGGTGGAACAGAAAGATGCTATGAGTATCAGAATGGCTTATAGGGATACATAGGTACTAAACCATGAAATCTCAAATCTTCTCAGCTCTGAGATGTTTCAGGTGAAACAGAAAGATGCTATGAGTATCAGAATGGCTTATAGGGATACACGGGTACTAACTAGACCTCGTGATACCACGAGTTTGATTGGCGGCATCCTTGCTAAAGGCAAATATGGCTAATTTAAATGTGAGCGAACTCGGTGGCTGTATGATCAACTCGCGGATCTTAAAATGCTCACGGTAGGCTGTGATCCTGTAACTAACAATGTATTCTGAAAAGTAAGACAGTCTTAAGCATACACACAATCTACTTGTTAATGTATCGAGATCTGTCTTTTGTCAGTGTATCTCATCTGGTTCGATTCATCCTTTTTGGCAAAATGCTCTCAATGAAATTACAAACCAAGGCACAAATAGAAGTCTGGTTGATGACAATGATAAGATGCTGACACGAGGATTATGACTTATGATGCTCAATAGTAATTACCTCTAGTTAGTTGGCTGCAATCTCCCTAGCAGGCGTTCCTGCCTACAAAGGCAGGGAAAGAGGGGGAACACCCCAATGCTACTCATCTATGTAGTGGGTACGATAGCACTGAACGAATTGCTTGGAGATTGACGTGCCTAATGAGGAAGGATCAATTTAACTTACTATTGTTGTTGTAATTAATTATCCCTCACCGTTCCACACGCAAAGAACACTGGTTAATAGAGCTAATTTACATTAAAGTGGCAGCAAATGATAGAGAAAGAGGGTTTGATCTCGTGGGAGGCATAATGGTAGCATACTCGTTTCCCAGTTTGATTTTTTTATGAACACATCATACCTTGGAAATCCAAGATGTAATGGTAGCATAACAACACATGTATGCTTATATGATAAAAACACGATAGACAAAATGCAATAAAATTATGAAAAAGTTTCAGGTCCTTAATTTGTGCTACTTTAATTACACGGTGGGCAACGATAACACATCGGATCAATGTCCTGCGTGTTACCAGTGCGTCGGACTTTAAAAAGACGCTATAAGTATCAATCAGCACGATGACAGGTAGTCTACTTATTCTAGTAACCGGCCTGCAGGCTTTAATGGATTGATCAATAAGACATAATAATTACGCAAATAGCTGGCTTTCACTATTTATCAATTTTAAGATTCATAATAATTTACAAATGAATTTTATTTATCGGAGAGAACAGAGACATAGATGTTGTGAGTATCAGAATGGAACGTGCATTTATTATGCGAATCCATACAAGTTTTTAAACAAAAAAGCATTAGGCGACATATTCGATCAAAAAGCAGTAACTATCTATAAATAATAAATGAATAAAGCTTTAATCAAGCTTTGTCATAATAACGTAACATCAATATAATTTACCCAGATCTTATTTTGTTTTCAAATTAGTCCATTTTAAATTATAAATAATTGATAACAGCCCTTTATTCAAGCAGTTTTGGAAGTGACATGATGTAACAACAATATGTCTCATTGTAAATACCCTATACTTTTTGTGTTTTGTCCATTATCCATTTGAAATTAAATATTAGTCATGGAAAGTGGCTGAACGTTTCTTTGAATCTTCAATTCAATATTGAGCGCTAAACGTAGGTAGGTTAGCTATCCCATTCAATGGAAAAGTGGCAAGTGGGATATTGTCAGTAATATTTGGGCTGGGCTGGCAAATGATACTTGTCCTATGTTCGAACGATTCAAGCGATTTTCTATATATTATACAAAATATGATGTTTAAGTGAAACCTGTCTCAGTGAACACCTCTAGTGAACAACTGTCTCTAGTGGACACCCTTCCTCCTCCAAACATACTCTATTGACTTTGTATAAATTACCACCTCTGTAGTGAACACCTGCCAACACTGAACATATTTTCTTGGCAAAAATGTTCAATTTAAGCAGGTTTTACTACATAGATTCAATAGTCGGGGTTTGCGTATATAACTTCGAGACGACGAGCATGTTAATACAGCGGCTAAAATATAAAGAGGTTTGTTTATTTGTTTAAATGCTTTAGAAATGTTACCGTTGGTGCTTTTTTCATTACTTACAAACATTAACAAAAATTCCTCAAATATCTATCTCAAATAAGACGATTTCTGCTTTGGGGGGGGGGGGCAAAATGTAAAAAGAAAGTGTACCCAGACTCTTTTCCCAAAGATCATTGCAATTAATTCAGAATTAATTTTAGAACTTATGATGGGGAAAATTGACCAAGAGGGGTCCATTTTAGGAACACAGTTTTTAGTCCCCATCAGCAACCTCCCCCCGGATCGATCCGTGTATGATCTCCCTGCTGCATTGATAATATGTAGCGGTATATGCATACACATCTTTGTATATCGGTAAGAACCTGGTTGTGTATCCAATTATTTATTGAAATACTATATTTCTTCGATAATCATTTGTGTATTTATAAATAATATTAGTGTCTGCATCAGAACATGATATTATATCGATAATATTAGGACACTGGGTTCTATAGAGTATCAATCCATTCTGAAATTGTATCTCTACTTGATACTTTTCCCTCTTTACTTTTCAGTACCTTTTCTAACACATCAGGAGAAACATCAGCGATGCTGACGACAGCGCCATCTTTATCAAAAATATCATACTCTAGCGTTTTCATATCAATTCCATTAACATGATGCACAGTATTTGAACATGGTTTATCACGTTCTTCATTTCCCCGTTTATTTTGTTGCCTATCAGCAGTGTGGATACAGCCATTTGTGATTTGTGACTCTTGTATGTTTGTATCTCTTGTTGGTAGTGCTGAGCGTCCTAACCTTCCCGATCGTGATACCAGCAAGCCACTTGGCCGTGAAGATGTTGACATATATGATTCAAGTTCACCAGGGGGTGAAGGGGGTCTGAGTTCTAATCTCTGTGTAGGGTCGTTTGGTGACCGTTGAGACGTTGACCGCAATGAATCTTTCACATTGGGAGGTGATATGGGTCTTAGTTCTAATCGCGGAGTTGATGCTCTCCGCGCAAGCACTCTCGGGGCTGCTCTTCTAGGAGATGACGGAGGTCGTGGAGAAATGGAACGTGGTGAATCCAATGAAAGCAATGAGCGTGATGAGAGACTGTTTTCGGAGTCTCGACGTGGGAGAGTACGGGGTGATGATACTGTAGGAGACATTGGTGAACGGGGTGGTGTAGAGGTAAAAACACTGCCTTCTTGTTGCATATTAGGCAATACGAGAGATGTTAGTTCTGTTTGTTCCTCTAGCAAAGGCATTATTGACTTCGGAGTTATTGCATTTGTTCGTTTAGGAGATTGGCAAATATTAGTTGCAATGTTTTTGTCATCACGGCCCTTATGTACATTTCCGTATACCCGTACACCAGGGTTTATCAATGGAGGTAATGCGACATCATTAGCCCTTCTCACTCCATCGATTATTTCCTCATTAGTCCTAACTGACCAGGGTGTATGTGCGATCACTTGTGAACCTCTGTGGCTAGTTTCATTATTCTCATTTACATCGAAACTGCCATCAGAAGCAGCGTCGGTTATGTCAACGATGTCCCCATCCCAATTTTGGATATTAATAACGGGTCCTTTTGAGAGAATGTCCTTATCATTCGCACTTAGCATATTGTCGGTACATGTTGTAAATATGTTCCTAGTTATGTCAATAATTAATCATATAAGTTCCAAGGCCATGGATAAAATCCCGTGTATATATTGGTTTAAATCCGTATGACATATCCAAATAAGGGTTTCATTTACATGTTGCTACCGTTTTTTGAAGTCCCCCGTGCATCCCTCTGTCACGTTTTACCATCCCACAGGGATAGGTCCGGACGTTGCTGAAAGAACAAGATGTTTTTCTTATAGCTTGAGAATGTCCGTTAATGTTGGTAGGACTATATTATTGATAATCATTTATTCTATTCACTCTGTTCTTTCTCCCTCTCTCTGAGAAATCAATCGTGTAGGCCTCATGTTAATAATCTTCGATGTATGTTGATGCAGTCTTTTTTCAAATATCTGGTATATCCAAGGAGAGCACTGGTAAATGTAAAAAATATCAAATTATTCCAAAATCGCCAAATCCAGATTGATAATTTTCTACAGCCACAGATGTGCAAATTATATTTTCTTGATTAATAAGTTTTTTCAAATTTGTTGCAGATTCTAGAATTTTGAGTTGAAAAAATCTATTGGTAAAATTGCATGAAGAAAACTTAAAGTAAATATGTGAAGTACTTGAACAGAAAATGTTCATAGAGAACGGGGGCAGAAATCACAAAAGATATTGAACATTTAAAACTTGGCCTTGTTTACATTTGTTTGAAAATCAAATTATAACTCAATAGCTTTTTGAATGCTGCCATGGGGCATTCGATGCAATGTTTAATTATGCCGATCTATGCGGTCATTCGCATAATCAATCACGTGACTGTGGTAACTGCACGGTAATAAGAATCTAGAGTAATAGAATGATATCGGAGCAGATGATATAAAAGATATCTCTTACATATTTGTTAAAATATTAAATCATTGCACACGAATGCAATAAGACAATATACTTCCAATGCTTTTTACTTAATGTAGATGCACATTGCACATATGCGCCCCGGGATATGCGTCCGCAACGAATGAGTCTTTACCCGAAAATAGGAAACTCGCACAACGCATTTAATATCCTAGTTTATATAATAATCTCGAAGGATAGTGTCGTATACTATAAGTTATTGAATCATTTGAAGTGCAATACAAGATATATTCTGCTCGAGAAATTCTGTATTGGAACGAGACGATGTCGAGTGCCAATACAGAATATCGAGATAGAATATATCCTGTATTGCACTTCAAAGCATTCAAAAACGTTTTTATCGTGTGATCTTACGCCAATACATTTTACTTAAGGAGATAATCACTAAGAAATAGTCTGCATTCTCTGTATTGCTACTGAGATTGTCCCCTCCGTAAGAATATTTTCTGAATTGCTACGGAGATGAACAATTGGGACAATCTCAGTAGCAATATAGATTGGTACAGCACAAGAACTGACCAATCAAAGGGCTTCATCTTACAGATCATACGATAAATTCTAGTATTGCCTATAAATGACACACATTTGTTCAATGCATTTGAACCTGTTTTAGTGAGTGAACACCTCTCTCAGGTGAACACTTGTCTCTAATGGACACCCTTCAACCGCACATACTCTACTGACTTCTGTATAAATTACCCTCTCTGTAGTGAACACCTGTCTCTAATGTACACCATTCCTCCACACTCTACTGACTTCTATATAAATTACCCTCTCTGATGAACGCTACCAGTACCAATACTTAGTATTTTCTCGTCAATGAATGTTCAATATACCCAGGTTTTACTGTATATGATTTCGGATTATACATTTGAATTACACTAATGAAAATGAATACTAGGTGACCAGATTTAATCGTAATACTTAAGGTCTTTAGAGTCTTTTACTTAAGGCCAGTTGTAATTAAACAAAACACGAGCCTTCTCTACAATAAGTGTTAAAACAAGCGTTGTTTTGGCGTTTCAAGTTTTTAGAGTGTAGAGAACATCGTGGAATACCATGACAATCCTTTTATCTGGAACAAGACTCTTTGATCATCAGGTAGATTTCGAATCAGATACCTGTTACAAAGTATGACAAGTCAGAATGAGATGAACAATAATTGATGTCACATTTTTAAATATTTAGTGTCAGAATAGACCCCGAGAGCCAGAGTCTTGTAAGTGGAAGATAAGGAGCAAAATGAAACTGTCTGAAAGCGTCTGCACATATATTTATAGATGCGTAGTGTATGTCTTTTCCCTTTCTCGGAATGTTTTCATTTTTACACAGGTGATGGTGGTGGTGGTATAAACGCCTCTGTCATTGGCTTCCCTTTCCACCAAACACTCGGTAACAGACCCATCATGTATAGTCCTGTAGGGGCCATATCCTCATTCCGCACCTCCACTTGGAACTTGTAGTCACGTTTTATCATAGGGCCCCGTAAGAACATCGGAATGATCAGACATTGGTCGTCTTGGAAACCGTGACTTTTGGTGCCTACGTCTCCTCCATGGTCAGCGCTAAGCATGACTAGAACTTGTGACGTCATGTTCACATCATCGATAGCGTCAAGGACTTGACCGACAAGTTTATCCACTGTTCCAACTTCAGTTTCATATTCAGGGCCGCACCATCCATACCCATGGCCAGTCTCATCCACGTTTCCAAAATACACGAATGAATAACTGCTCTGTGAAGATGGCAACGTTGCCTTTAGGTACTTGACGGCCTCGGTGGCAATTTCTTCATCTGCATCGCCATACCCATTGTCACGTCCACCGGGGTTGGCGAAATAATCAACATCTAAGCTCCCGGGTATGGATTTGTTGCCTAAGTTGACAAACCAGCTCCAGTCATAAAAGGCGGCAGTTTTCGTGTCTGGTGATTGGGATTTTATTGTTCCAAAGACGCAAGGCATTGGATGCGCGTTCCCGGTGACGGGGGTAATATCTTGTGTCGTCCCCAACCAAGGGGCAGTCCAGCTATTACTTATCGCCCCCGTGCTAGTCGGAGCCATGGCACAGAGCGTTGTGGACCAACCAGGCGCACTGACCGTCTGAATGGTGGTCCGAGCGTTCACCATCGTAGACGTTCCCATTTTCCCAAGACGATGAAGAATGTTCGGCGAACCTGTACTTGAGTTTGTGATGCATGCTGGCTTTAGCCCATCAATACCTATATGCACAACATGATTTACTATTGCATTTTTTGGCTTGGATTGAACACCACTGCCGTCAAGTTTAACATTAGGTATGTCACGTTTCCCCTTTATTTTGTTGAGAAGCTTTTCGAGTTCTGTTGTCCGAAGAGAATCTTCATTCAAACGATTCAGCATTATTTGGTTCAGCTTTGGACGCCTGGGAAATGCTTCTAAGCGCAAGCATATCACAGCGAGTATAGTTAACGTTATAAGCAGTAGTGTCTTCATTTTGCCAAATACTACAGATTTAATTAAACATATTACAAACCAGAAGAGGTTGAGTGTTGTCATGCGATTCTTTTTATCTGTTGGTGAGTGTATTTAACCTACTCTTTATGTTTATAGATCTGATATCTGCATGTCGCTGTCACCAGTGCGGTAGTCTTGACCTTTTTCACGCCTGGAGTATACAAATTATAGTATGTCTTTAAGAGAGTGTTGTACAGGGTGGGCCAATAAAAACGTCCATATTTTTATTTTTGTAATATCTTCGCTGGTATGTTAGAAATATCCATAAATTATCATTTGAAAGATAATTCAATTTCCAGCAAAGTGATATATTATTCATAAAATATGAATGGCTATTGGTGACTCCATGGTCATTTCCGTATCATGGGGTAGTAACAGTCGAAAACAACATTTCGCTACATGTTTTGAGCTTAATACATAATATTGCATTGCTTATACAACACTTTTGGGCTTTTACACATGAAGAAAATGTATTGGAGTTGAGTTTTGTTGTTTGTAAATCATTGTATAGCTCTAAAATAATCATGGAACCTATTTTTATGCATTGTTAGTGTGTTATAAAGTAAGATTTTAAGATAAATTGATATTTGCTTCAAACATGGTTTCAAAAGAAACTCAGTTGAAATTTTGCCATAACCCATGATATGGAATAAATTTCCATAATTTCCTCTTCTGGTCCCTATTATTGCATTGTCTGCCATTCAGAATGTCAGTTAGTTAAGTGATACAAGTACAACATCATTATTGATCATTTCATGATAATTTTAGCCTATAATATCAAATAGGCATTATCTATAATATCATTATTTAAAATATCTTTAAATAAGTGAATATTCAACTATTTGATGCAGAATTCTCCGCGTTACTTAAGCTATAATATTACCAATACCTATCAAAATGGTCACAGAACTCAATAAAATTGTAGATTAATTTGCTTTCATTTGATAGCATAAATCAACAATTTTGACCTTCTATTATTAGACTTATATTCCCAAAGCTGACATAGGGGTTATATCTGTCTGGTCAATTTTTAGTATTGGAAATTGAATTGTCTTTTCAATGATATATGACTTAAACATTTGTCTGTAATATTGAAAATGTAGTAACAAAAACTAAAAATATGGACGTTTTTTGGCCCACCCTGTATTTTAATAAGCTACCTTACCGTGGCCTTGATCAACGTTGGAGTTAACAATATCACTGTGCATATATATTATTATTTTATCAGTATTACTGTCTAGGATGCAATTTTTATAAACATCTGCTGCGAAAACAATATTTTTATTCAGCTATTTGTTTAACGACTAGCTCTTATTTCAAGACAGCACGTAATCGTGTAAGAGTTAATACTATTAGCAGACGCGTGTCACGTAGCCTATACAGCACGTAATTGATGAAATTAGGCGTATTTTTGAAAATGAGTTAAAAATTAAGTGGCGTAGGAATAATGTACGCCAATGCAACAATGTATGCATATTTGGTTTTGCCACTTTTATTGAGAATGGACCAAGAAAACTGAACTTGGTCCCATAAAACTAAATTGTCTTCATGTAGGCTACATGTAGCTCAGGCCTGCCAACATAGCGTTTACGGGGACCTGGTCGCAAATGTTTTGTGTCTCATGAAAACATTCAACCGATTTCACCGTTTAATCCATTTCTTTGATAAAATCTACCCTTTCAACTGAATCTATTACATGAATTTCATTTCGCAAACATGCTTAATATTGTGTTACATATTTGACATTTTTCTTTCAATCATCATACTATTTATTGCTTCAATCTGTATCAATGTCATATTGCACGGTACATGATGGAATCAAACAATGCTATATAGTATTACACATGTTATTCTTGTGTTACATGTATCTATTTCATTTATTCAAAAAGACTAAATACACGCTTTTATGACTCATTGATGATTAAAAATCTATCATTGTTATCCACCCTATGCAGACAGAGCCTGTGGGAAATATTGGGTGCGGAGCAAATGAGCGGAGGGTGCGGAGCTAACGGTTATTTTTGAATTTAAATTTGGGATATTTCTGAAACTAAGCCGTTTTGGGACTTCAAATATACCAAGATATGTGTATTTGACACCAAATATCAATACAATTGTGAAAATAGTAGCGCAATTCATTCTATAGCGACGCAGTGTGCCTTAAACCTTTCCCAGACCTATATATTTTGAAATTATCCTTTTAATACTGAGTCCCCAGCATTCATAAAAAATGGTGTTCAAGGTGCACTATCTATACAAATTATTTTTGCATCTTGGAAGCCAGGCAGTATCTGTGTGATTTTATAAAAATTCGGAAATGTTCTTCAGATATGAGCCCCTCTAAATATTGGGTGCGGAGCAGCTCCATAGCTCCGCACCCAATATTTAGAGGGGCTCATATCTGAAGAACATTTCCGAATTTTTATAAAATCACACAGATACTGCCTGGCTTCCAAGATGCAAAAATAATTTGCATGGGTAGTGTATCTTAACACCATTTTTTATGAATGCTGGGGACGCAGTATTAAAAGGATAGTCTCAAAATATATAGGTCTGGGAAATGTTTAAGGCATACTGCGTTGCTATAAAATGAATTGCACTACTATTTTCACAATTGTATTGATATTTGGTGTCAAATACACATATCTTGGTATATTTGAAGTCCCAAAACGGCTTAGTTTCAGAAATATCCCAATTTTAAATTCAAAAATGACCGTTAGCTCCGCACCCTCCGCTCATTTGCTCCGCACCCAATATTTCCCACAGGCTCTGTCTGCATAGGGTGTTATCTGGAATATAGTTTTACCGATGCGAAAATTGGTCGACTATAGTGTTAGAGAAAATAAACATTTTCATTAGATTAGTGAAAATGAGTTCTGTCAAGATTTCAAAGATTGGCTTCCCATCGTGATATTAAATGACGAAAAGTATCTGAACATATTAAGCACATTGTTAGAAAGGTATTACCATAAAATGACATTTTACAATATACTTAGGTGTGTATTTTATAAATGATTTGATGCAATTTTTTCATGTTTATTTGCTGAATGGCTTACCAATCGTCGGTCGGCGTCTGTAACAAATTCTTCATGACAACTTCCAATAATTTAACAAATACTGTACAGACTAACTTCAATTGTTTTCAAAATCATCTAAGCCGAAGTTATCGGAAGTTCAAATCTGACTGTAAAGATTTGAGATTTGACCTTCAATGACTTTCTTAAGGTCAAAAAAGGTCAAAAAGGTCTCTTCAACTTGCTTCAAATTGACGAATTTTTTTCAAAATCATCTACAAGTTCTCAACATTTCAAATTGTCTGACTTCAAGGTCAAAAAGGTCTTTTTATCTTGTGGTGGTGACATTTTGTCATGTTAATGCCTTGTTCATAAATGAGTTGGTCATAAAATAGTAGGTTAAGGTACAGCTGGAAAATAACATTTTGTAGAAAAATTGCTGCACCTACACAGGTTATAGTCCTGGCACAAAATAAAATATGAAGGCATCGTCGGTGTTTATTTCATTGCATTTTTCAGGAAAGTATCATTACATTGTCTAGTTTTAGTAAAGCTGGACTGAACAGGTCAATGGTAGCCCCTGTGTTGTCTAGAAACTTTAAAAGAGAATTTTGAAAAATAGAAAGTGTGAAATATCAGAATTTCCTGGAGTTCCCATTGACCTCTTAAACCAGACTAAACTAAAAGAAGACAATGTTGTGATACTTTCCTGAAAAAAGCAAGGAAACACATGCATTCATACTTTATTTTGTACCAGAAAATCCCGTGTGTAGGTAGAGCATTTCCCCCCAAAATGTTGTTTTCCAGCTGTACCTGAGCAGACGCAGAGTTGTATTTGCGAACCGAACTCCCATGCAGTGTCTATTATCACTGCACGGGAGTTCGTTTGCGAACTTCACAGCTTGTCGGCTATATCTGCTTTATATGGGCTTATCAGCCTTTTGCAGATTATTGACATAGACATAGGGGGCTACCGGATTCAGCAACTCATTTTTTAATATGAATGGAAAAGTGACAAGTGTGGCGAGTTATATACGTTGAAAAGGCCACTTGTCCCTTGGAAACAAAACAGTATACATATCACCCTGGGCTTTCAATTCTAGTTGAAAGCCCATGATATCACTCATCATTGAAACCATTACTAAAATGATCGATCCCAGTATCTGATTTAGAATAACACGTCCCCGGATGTGACTAATCTAACGAGTGTATAAAAGATTTTCCAAACAAATTGTTTCTCGAAGAAAATTAAAAAAAAATTCTCAATTAAATCAATATACTGCAAAAATGTGATGAACCAGGTAAATAATTAGGTCCCTATCACCTTACTTTATATATTCTCCTTCTATTTTGCAATAAAATTTATGCATGCTTTCAACATGAGGCTTATTATGTTCAATTATTTTTGAACCCGAGCACAGTGATGAGGGATGTTGTTAGGCCCAAGACTAGGCTAACTCGAGTCTCTAGTCAAATTACTTGGCTAGAAGATATGGCATGTGGACCACTGTGCACTTGTGAAAAAGTTCTGGAGTAAATTTTCTTTAGATGTTATTCTAATACTCTAATGAGAATATTTCATAAATTAGAATTCAAAAGGACACTGTCCTTTGTGAGATATTGCATGCTTTCGTCTGACCTTAAAATCACCGGATCTGCCATTAATAATTAATAATCTGTTAATGTTGAACTTAACCTCGCTATAGCGAAAAACAAAATGAAATAAAATACTAGATAACTTTATTTTTTGAATTCCTGTTTCCAATCCTGGTATGAAATAAGGTAATTTTGTCCCCATGGAACAATTATATAATCTCCATTTGGCATCGTGAATTTTCATACATTTCTGGAATGTGACGTAAACTTACAATGGAAAGCGCGCAAAGTTCAAAGCAGTAAATTCTTTGACGTTTTTTTTTTGTAAAATAACAAACAAAAAAATTCTGCTGGGAAACAAGTCTATTTTCTATTCTTTTCCGTCCATATTTCACAAATTTATTCAACATTTTTGAGAAGATGTAGACAGCGGAGACAAACATTATCCAACTTCCATTTCCATCACAAAGAATTTTGGGATTCTTGGTGTACTTGAACTTTTTTACAATGATATGGTGATTTTTTCAGAAATGCAATAATGTAAATATGCACAGATGTTGAGCAATCCATCCAGTGAACAACCAAAAGTGGAAAATAAGTTAAATAACCTCATCAAACATGGAACTCCAACCTACTGAAGCTGGAAGCTCTTTCACAATTCCATTTGGCAAGAAGTCTAAGGGTTCACATGTAGAAGATGAGGATGACAATCCTTTAGAAGCCATGTATGTGCCAGTTAGGGTCCTTGGCCATGGAGCCTTTGGGGAGGCAGTACTTTATAGGAAAACAGAGGTAAACATTTTCATGAACACCAAATGATTCAAACTTTGTATAAATAGATAAGGGGACCTCAGGACAATTGAGTCAATAGTACAACACACTATTTGTTGCTTCATGAGAAATCATGCTCTTCTTTAAGATCCTTGCTAGTTTCAAAACGGAAAATTGTGATGAATATCTCAATGCATTTGTTGTAGGATAACTCCCTTGTTGTTTGGAAGGAGGTTGACTTGGGACGTTTGAGCGACAAAGAGAGGAGAGACTCCCAGAATGAGATAGACATTCTTGCTCTGTTGAATCACACCAACATAGTGACGTATTACAATCACTTCATGGATGGGCAGACATTACTCATTGAGATGGAATATGCAAATGGTAAGGGTGGAGGAAGGGAAAAAAGTTATTTGGATGTTGGTGTCTGGCGATTTTAGTATATGGGGTGGGTCTAGTATCAGTATGTAATTCTTTTGTAAAATGAACTACTGTGCTAGAGATGACGAAGGGAAGAAAAGAATTATCGTCTTTTAAGTAATGTTGATATAACTTAAATGTTAGAATGGGTTTAACACTCTAGGGATTATGTGAAAGCCATTTTTAATCAGTTTTATGATCAATGTTTGATTTTTTTTGTATTTGGTTATTTGTCTAATATGCATAATTGATATTTTAAGGTTAAAAATCAACTTAGTAAATATTTTTTGTTTTTCTGTGTTATATAGGTGGCAGTATGTACCATAAGATATTCCTACAACCCGAGGGGGAACTATTCAAGGAAGAGGTACTTATTTACTTTCACGGTTCTTCTTTTGTAAATATTTTGAATCAAGTTTAAGGTACACTTAGGCTAACTGCTCTGTACATTGATAAAGTTCTGCCAGATCCTATTAGGAAAAAACTTTCATTTATTAGGAATGTACAGCATTCATGAACATATTGCATACATTACTATATCTAGTACTCCTTTCCATTAGTCAGCTCATAAATACATACATGTACAATTGATCACTGTACTTAACATGTCGATTTAAGATTTTAAGCCCTGGACTCAGTGCTTTGTGGACTGATGACTAGTATCACTCCTCCAAGGTGTTGTTTCAAACTTTGCACGAGATTCGCAGAAGCGAGTGCTTGTTTAGGAAAAAATGCCTTAGTAGAATGAATCAGCCGCAATGCATTGAGTCTTGGGCTTAAATTTTTATCACACTTTGCAAAAATATATGAAAGCACTAAAACAACATATTTTCAATTAAACTTTTTGCAAGCGTCAAGTTTGCAGAGTATCAATTTCAATCTGTAGAATCAAGTTTTAACCTTGACAACCATTCAACAAATGACCTAGGGTAAATTGTTGGTTATATAATGCAATACAGTTATATGAAATAGCATGTTCTGATTTGCTGGAATCGGACACATCTTGCCTAGCTATGTGTGAATTACTGGTCATGCACATAATTAATTGATTTCATATTATTTTATTCCAGTTGATTATCTGGTATATATTTCAAGTACTATCAGCAGTAGAATATATCCATGAGTACAGCATTTTACACAGGTACTAAAACATAATCTACAATAATTTAATGTATGATGTCAATAACTAACACGTTCATAAAATAACTGAAGTGTATTTTTATCCCCTGTAAATTCTCAACATAGTCTTGCATCAAGTTCCTGAACCCTTGTCACTTCATCTCCAGACATAAATGCTTGAGGCAAGCTTATTGTTTTAAATGACTTAAAATCCAGAATAGATACCGCCTTTAGCCAAATTATATTTTTATCGCACTTTGAAAAAGTGCTATATTGTCGTCGTCTTGTGCTGTTGGGCGGGCGGGCGGCTGGGCGGCACATAAACCAAATCTTGTCATCAAATTTCCAGGATAACTGCTTACCTGTTCAACTTGAAATTTTTACAGATGCAAGAGCAGACTAGTACTAAGATCTGATTAGGTTAAGGGCATGCTGGGTAAACTACGTGGCGGCCATTTTGAATTTTTCAACAAATCTTGTCATCAAAATTCCAGGAAAACCACTTATCCGTTCAACTTGAAATTTTTACAGATGCAAGAGCAGACTATTGGCAAGATCTGATTAGGTTTTGGGTATGCTGGCTGAATTACATGGTGGCCATTCTGAATTTTTCAATTTGGCGACCATTTTGAATTTTTCAACTTGCTCCAAATTGACCAAATTTTTTTTAAAAAAACATCTACAAGTTCTCAGAAGCTCAAATCTGACCTTAGATTTCAGATTTGACCTTTCGTTGACCTTCAGTGACCTTGAAAAGGTCAAAAATTTGATTTTCTAAATTGATATTTTGGATTTAAATTTAGGTCAGCTTAATTACAAAAGACCTACTGAGGTCTGAAAAAGTGAAATTTTCAAGGTCGAAGGTCATCAAATTAGGTCACAAACAATGTTATCTAAATTTTCCCAAAGTTCAAGACTACAAATATTTCTTGTCATCAAAATTGCAGGAAAACTTCTAACCTTGTCAACTTGAAATGTTTACAGATGCAAGAGCAGACTAGTGCCAAGGTCTGATTAGGTTTTGGCCATGCTGGGTAAATTCCATGGTGGCCAGTTTGCTCTTCAAAGTGCGATATTTATCACTGTGTGTCTTGTTATTCATCTAAATCATATTTGTAGCCCAGAGTAAACATAAAAAATGTTAAGTTATCATGTTATTTTTTTCAGGGATATAAAAACCCTGAATATATTTCTCACAAAATCTGGGCTTTGTAAGATGGGTGACTTTGGAATCTCTAAGGTGCTAGACACCAGGAGTCAGATGGCAGAGTCAGTTGTAGGAACACCATACTACATGTCTCCAGAACTCATCAAAGGACAGCAGTAAGTGATCCTTCATAGGATTAACAGTATTGGTTGACTAGTAGATATGACAAATTCCAAATATTTAAAGTATTTATAATGACTAACCACAAATATAGTTGGGTGAGGAAATTACCTCACCAAAATTTTACAGAAAAAATGTAGCAAAAATGTTCTAAATAATTTTTGATAAGAATTGTGAAAATTACATCTCATTGTACATGTAGTATAATATCCTCTCTGGCTTTAGTTTTGCCTTGTCTTTTTATTAAGTTCAACTTACCTGTTTTAGATTCTGATCTGACGACCCTGCTTTAAACGTATATTATAATTAAGTTCAAATCAACTTTCAAACTATCTGAGCTGTGTTCATATTTTTGTTAAATGTATGTTATTTTAGATACAACTCTAAAAGTGATATGTGGGCATGTGGCTGTGTGTTATATGAACTTCTAACTCTCGAAAGAGTTTTCAATGCAACTGTAAGTCTAAAATTATGTTTTTAATTTATTTTCCCAGATTTGTATTTTTAAGTTTTATTGATTAATAAATACAATACAGTAAATGTTATGCAATATTCTTCTAAAATGCTCAGTGAACAATATTTGAGTGCAAATAGTTTATGTATAATGCAATCTACACTTACTGTGGACGTCTGAATTTACGCGGGGGAAATTATGCGTGTTTATATTTCCACGCTGATTGCACTTATCAAGTTATCTGTATAAACAAAATAAATAGACTTACGAAATATCACCATATTTGCAAAGCATCTTGGGAGTTTTCTGTGCACTGAATGAAAAATGTAATGAACGAACCTGATATCCTGGGACTGACATTTGAGTTGCTTGTTCATAAACTAAGCCAATTATGCACGGCAGCAAATAAACGTGAACTTACATGTACATTTTGAGCACTATATTATACTAGTGTAGTCCTGCACTACTGATTGCTGGGTTAGTTCTTACACCAATGTTAATTTTGAAGTTTTGACATATGAGTGCAGTGCGCATGTGTGAGTTGAAATTAAAGAGTTTGAGATCGTTTCTACTATAAATAACAACTGTGTGCATTACTATCTCATGATTCTATACTTATACATACACACCGACAAAATATGATGTACCTTAGGGATATGAGGGGTAAGTGCCACGGACAAAAACAAAATCATAATTTTTTTCAGATTTTTTCAGATTTTTTTCAATATACCTAGCCTAGACCTACATGTGTAGCTAATAATTCGTGAGTTCTTTTTTTCACGGATGGACGGCATTCTTGCAAATGTAGCAAAAATATACACACCACGAAATCAAAGATGTGTCTCTTTGTATGTACGTTGTAAAGTATGTCATGTTTATTTCTTAGTCAACTCTATCTTTTCCTTGTATACATGTATTATTACAATGTTTTTTGATAGATGGTATACCAACAGACACTTTCTTTAAATTCAAAAATACAACAATATCATGTTTTCTAGAACTTGTTAAAGATGGCGAACAACATTGTGCGTGTTGAACATGCTGAGATAGATGGAAGATACTCTTCTGAGATGAAAAAATTGTGTGATGATCTCCTGTCAAAGGAGGCAGATAAACGTCCCGAGGCTGCTGAATGTTTAAAGTACCCACTATTTGTGGATAGAAAGTATGTGTTTAGATTTGTGACTGTGTGTCAAAGCTTTGTTTTCTTTATCCACAATTTAACACAAATTTCACACACCAAAACATGAAGCATAGTTACGAAACTGATCTTCAACGCATGAAATTCCAATATACGTATATGTTGTTATATGAAAAATTATTATATGCAAGCTCATATATCATATAATGTAATATATTTGTAGCATGCATTAATTTTACAACATTTTTCTTCATCTTTTCAATTGCTTTTTATTAAAGCTTCTTAGAAGATTTATATATTCTGTCACAAAAGCAATTTTAAACTTTGTTTGTGTTCAGTAAAATGGAGAAGAAAGTGTGGGAGTTAAACTCAGCGACTCGTCGTGCCAGGATGTCTGCGTCTTCAACCTCTGAACTCTTTATACAACCTGTCATTACATCTCAGAGTAGTGAGGTAAGGCCTCTTCTTTAAAACAGTTTTGTCCTGAAAAGCTACGCATACATATTACAATGACATGCTTCATTGTTGTTATACAGTAATGGGCACATAAGGTATCAAGGATATTTAGATTTATTGGTCCAAATCGATAACTGGGCAGTTGACAACTTGACATGCTATAATTTCTTTGTTTAGGTGTTCCAGTGGGGTGGTGGCAAGCAGTACCCGCAGAAGTTGAGTTTGTTTGAGAAGAACAACTGTGCACTACAAGTGGCTACTGGACATAGTCATTTTGCTGTCATCACAGTTGAGAAAGAACTCTATACATGGGCTGTAAGTGAACTAAGTGTAGAAGATAAGCATAATTTAAAGACCTAAACCAAAGTTTTATACTTAATTTGTTATTTCAGTCATATATGGTGGTGTCCAAGTTGGGTACACTGTATTTAGGATATTAAAATGTTAAAAACAGTCTAAACAATTTTTGAACATGTTTTATGAACAATGTATTGGATATCCTGTGGATTATAATGTATGATTCCCGAATATGTTTATTATTACATTGATTGATCCAATAGGTTGATTTGATATTGTTTGTACGCATGTATGTATTTTCCCATTGTACCCTAATGTAAAATCTGGTTATTATTCCATAATTGTAGAGTGCGCAGACAGGAGGTACCCTTTGTGGCCAGCTAGGGCATGGAGATACAGCCCACTACAAGGTACCTAAGAAAGTGCAAGAGTTAGAGGGGATACCTATAAAGCAGGTATCATGTGGGGAAGAACACTCAGCCTGCATCACAGGTATAAATGGATTTGTTATAAAAACTAACGCTATAATGTCACAATATAACAATATTCTCAAAAATTGAAAATGAGCCTATAGCTTTCCAAGAGGATCTTTTTCAAATGTAATTCTTTCAGAAAGTGGACCTTATTTAAAAAATAACCTGTCATAAATATTATTATTTTTTTATAAACCTTCCATCTGTTCATCTCTTTCGTACACCGTATATGATGGAGCTGTTTGATGTTTAACATTTATGTCAATATGTTATAGATGAGGGTATGATGTACACATTTGGTTCTAACTATTATGGTTGCCTTGGAGTAGAAGAGGCGGATGAGGAAGTCCTACTACCTTTACAGGTAAGCTGTTCCATTATGTTTGGCAATAAATTCTAAACATGAAATCAATTTTGTTTCATATGATAGGTTTTTGGTATCTGCTGATTCCCAATAATAGTCTGAGTTTAGATATGACATAGCAAAGGCATTGTTATAACAAACTTTGGGCCTTGATATTACACAGCAAAGGCCTTGTTATGAGAGACTGTGGACCATGATATGACATAGCAAAGGCCTAGTTATAACAAACTTTGGGCCTTGATATTACACAGCAAAGGCATTGTTATAGCAAAATGTTGGCCTTGATATGACACATCAAAGTTCTTGTTATGACAAATTGTGGGCCTTAATATGACACAGCGAAGGCCTTGTTATAACAAACTTTGGACCTTGATATGACACACCAAATGCCTTGTTATGACAAACTGTGGGCCTTGACATGACACACTACAGGCCTTGTTATGAGAGACTGTGGACCTTGATATGACACAGCAAAGGCCTTGTTATGAGAGACTCTGGACCTTGATATGACACAGCAAAGGCCTTGTTATGAGAGACTCTGGGCCTTGATATGACACAGCAAAGGCATTGTTATAACAAACTGGGCCTTGACATGACACACTACAGGCCTTGTTATGAGAAACTGTGGGCCTTGATATGACACAGCAAAGGCCTTGTTATGAGAGACTGTGGACCTTGATATGACACAGCAAAGGCCTTGTTATGAGAGACTCTGGGCCTTGATATGACACAGCAAAGGCATTGTTATAACAAACTGTGGGCCTTGACATGACACACTACAGGCATTGTTATAACAAACTGTGGGCCTTGATATGACACAGCAAAGGCCTTGTTATGAGAGACTGTGGACCTTGATATGACACAGCAAAGGCCTTGTTATGAGAGACTGTGGACCTTGATATGACACAGCAAAGGCCTTGTTATGAGAGACTCTGGGCCTTGATATGACACAGCAAAGGCATTGTTATAACAAACTGTGGGCCTTGACATGACACACTACAGGCCTTGTTATGAGAAACTGTGGGCCTTGATATGACACAGCAAAGGCCTTGTTATAGCAAACTTTGGACCTTGATATGGCACACTTAAAAGGCCTTGTTATAACAAACTGATGGCCTTAATATGACACACCAAAGGGGTTGTTATAACAAACTTTGGGCCTTGATATGACACAGCAAAGGCCTTGTTATGCCAAACTGAGGGAACTAGTATGCCAAACGAGGGGCTTGTTATGATAAACTTAGGGCCTTATTATGACAATCAAGGTATTGTGGTAATAAATGATAATGATATGCCTCTGAAATTCCTGTCTTAATATTATTATACTATCAAATACTTAGTACAAGTCTTGTTAAAATTACAGTGTGATAATCATTGTGAAGTTGTAACATTGAATAGAAAAGCAGTTAATGTTTGTATCAATTAAAGGCACCCATAAATATTTTGAATTGGCAATAAATGAATGTTAAAATTCTGAGCCTTGACTGAAGTAAAGGTTATCTTACCATACAAAAAATAATGAAATTGTAATATTCATGAGGGCATTTTTGTCACCCCTGTAAATCTTGAAAATGAAAACAAGAAAAGTATTTGTTGAAAACTTTTTTAGTAATATTTTCTTCTATACATATAAAAAGATGAAGTTGGAAACTGACAGTATCTTTAATGAATAATTTATGACCAATATTTTGTTTTGACCATGTGATATGACGTGCCTCTTTAATCGCACTCCATCCTCTACTGAATCAACTCAAAGCTTGTATTGTTTTTGTACTCTCTTCAGTGGCGGATCCAGGGGGGCATGGGGCCCGCTCCCCCCCCCCCTTTTGTGGGCCCAGAAAATTTTAGGAACCCAAATATTTTGTAGGGCCTCAAAAAATGGGCCTTTTTAGGTCAAATTTTCAATAAATGGGCCTTAAATTTGGTTTTAGGGGCCCAAAATTTTTTACCCACAAGCGTGGAAATTTTTTTACTGACTCAAAATTTGGGCTTATATAACCTTATCGCTTCTGGATCCGCCACTACTCTTTCTTATCTTTTTTCTTTCTTCGCTACTGTATTTTATGTTCCTAAATCCAATCTGTGCTCATAAAAGTTAAGTTGCGGTCTTTGGTAAAAATATTGTAATTCATGTACTAGATATAGTATATATTTCAAGATATTTAGTAAAACATTTTAAACTCTTTTTGTAACCTCTTGTAAAACACTTTCTCTCAAGTTTGATATTTTTTCGATGGCTCTTAACGTGCTTCACTTGTCATTTTCACATTTACGCATCCACTCAATATGTGTAAATATATTGGTGTTGCCATAGTAACTTTCTGATGTCAGGGTATCTTGACATCAAAAGTGAGGGTTTCACTGGAGATATAATATTGATCATTGATGATGCACTTTACCATGGCACACAGCATTTTATCAAAAGTTTAAAATGAAATGAACTGTAGATAAAAAAAATTGAATATTAATCTGTTGCATATGGGTAATGTAAATTCACCTTTACTAATGCAGATTGCCAAGTTTGGACTTTAAAAATAGAGTATAATGAAAAATTGAACTGATATCTTCTATATAAGTGGATATAAATGATGAAGTTTGGAAAATGAAGATTTGAACAATTTGATATTTCTGAAAAAAAGATGAAGGGTTCCCAATGTTTATGTTGGACAGTTGGACAGTAGCTTTATGAATTTTGCCAAAATATGCAAATCTGTTTCAAAGAAAGATTTTCTAAAAATTTAAGACATAAAATATTACCTATAAAAATGCATGCATCAGATATTACTTTAAGAAGTGATATTTGATGATTGATGATCTGGTGTTGAAATCTGCTCATAAAACATATATCAACATGATATTTGATATACCCTTACAACGATGGATAAATTGTTCTTAATTCATTCCATATCTATTGCAAAAGAGAATAATTTTTTATACGAGAAACATTCAGAGATGTTAAAACAGAACATTAATCATTGGAGCTTCTTTGAGTAATTTGCGTCGCTATAAAAGGAGATGTATGTATAATATTGTATCATATGCCGATAACACCAGCCTAAGCTGCAGCATCCTGAAAGCGACTCTGTGAAGCAGATTAATCGCCAGCACCAAACATAGGATGAACAAGCACGTATTCCTTAAGTAAGTATGTAACATTTTTAATGTTTATATTACAGAAATGTTCATATATTTTGTTAGAGTTTTGAATAAAGTTCATTGAATTTTTGTTGGATGAGCAAACTTTTGAAATTTAATGAAAACTCAGAATTAAATCTTGCGCTAAGGGTAGATGTGAAAAAGTCAGCCCACCCTAGTGGGGATTGAACCCATGACTCCTCGTTTTAACTTTCTGGATGATTGCTTTAATTTACAAGAATCTGTAAAGGTTGCATAATGATTTTTCTTTGAAATACCAATGACTCAAAATTACTTATTTATTGTTCTAAGAAATTGAATTCCAGTTTTCTTTTCAGTACTTTGCATTAATGTTTAAACCATCTGGTCTTAATTCTCGAATTTTCAAGAAAAATTGAATGAAAACAATAATATATTTAGTTATATAAAGAATTAAAAATTCTGTATAAGCAAGTGACTTCCACCTATGAATTCACAAAAGATGAACTTCCATGCATAATTCTCCATTTTTCAATTTCATAATCTCTTAATAGTCTGTGCAATTATTCTTGTACATCCATTATCATTTTCCTTTTTATGTCACCACAAGTGATGACATATGGTTAATATTGTCTATCTTTTTGTGGATGGCAGTTGGTGTTCAGCGGTTCAGTGGTTGGTGTTTGGCATTCAGCAGTTGGTGTTTGGTGATCAGTGTCTGTAACAAATGGTAGGTCGTGACATTTTGCTTGTTAATGCCTTGTTTTACTATATTGTTGCAAAAATTAATATCAGGAGCATTATTGAACTTGAGAAAAGTAATAATCTTAAAACCATTTTATCTTTTAATTCTAAGATAATAATCATGCCAAGTTATGCCATCTTTTTCTCTTTTAGAATGGGAAATCATTTCATCGTGTCATTTGTCAATATTAAAGTCACATTTATACAGTAATTTACAATAAAAAGATGAAGCTCTCTTTTAAATAAGCAAATCACTCTACTAGAAAGGGTAGCTGAGTGCCGGGCTGAGTGTAATTTTATCCTTAATTTAATTAAAAGAACATTTTTAATCTTCAGATTCATCATTACTGAAATGTTAGTCAATATATAAGAGGCTTTACTTGTAACATTCATTCCCAAACAAAAGTCGCATATTTGTGTGTAAAAACATTAATTTACAACAAAATACAATATTTTCTGTCCCGGAAGGCAAAAATGTTAAACAAAACTTCTATAATTTGTAAATGTCCATTTAATATTTCATGATAATATCATTGTTTTTTTTTATTTAATCCAGCAGAAAATATTGAATTCTTATTAACCTATATTATATCTCAATTAATAATACTGAGTTATTTCATCATAGGAGAACATTGGACTTAGATATGTAATTTGAATATATGTTCGGGTCAGTTCTATAAGTGTAATTAGAGGTTCCCCTAATTATATTACACAAAACATCGATCTCATTTCCAGAGCAGTTTGATCTCAAATGGCCCAGTTTGATTTGATTAATACATAGATCTAGAAAGTGGACACTTATGTTATTAAAGGAAAGGAATGGCCTTAATAAGTAAATTCTTGAGGAACAATAAAGCTCATCTAATTGTATCTCGATAATACACCTTATTAGCTTGAATTCTTACACATACTGTAATTACAAATGTACAATAAAAATTTTATGCTACGATTATTGAAGACCACTTGAGTCAAAATATAATAAAAATTGTCAACTTCACTATGGTCATAAATATACATGAAATATAATTTATTATGCGATATATTGTGACAGCATATTTTTCTGATCATTGTTAAAATTGATTGTGAGATGACTGGGTTTTTTTGCATCAAGCAGAATATAATCTAAGATCATATATTTTCCAAGAACACATGTACCGACGACTCAAATCATTTTAATGAAAATGTCTCATGCAAAATGTGAAAGGCAAAATGAAGTGTGGTCTGTTTTTTCCTTTGACTGGCTTTTAAAGTTTTAAAGTTGCATGTTTCGATCTAAGAAGGTTACACTTAGATTGAAAAATTTATCTCCGAGACTTGTAACATATCACATCAATTGTTCTTTAGATATACCAACAGGCAATTGACAATTACATGTATCTGTATCACTAATATATTTGCACAATGTTTAGAATAACATTAGAGAATACTCCAGGGATTGCGTGAAAGCAATCTAGAAATTGATTATTTGGCAAGTATTGGCTAAGAATGATGAACAAACATTTTTCATGTTAATGCCTTGTTTAATAATCTGATGTGAGAACTTCGACAGAAAATTCTATTTTTAAAAAACTAAGTGGTTGATGCCATGTGCTACTCAAGAAAACACAATGAAAATACATGATCATAAAAAAGAGTTTTCTATTTTTTGATGAAGTATCAAAAAAGGAAGATTGCATTTTTGGGTCACCCTGTATTTGAGGGGTTTGTATTTGGAGGATCTTACCTATTGAGTTATCCATACAAATACAGGGTGTCTCAAAAGTAACAGGACTGGTTGTGATACTAACCTTTTAATTAATACTGAACTGAATTGACTAGAAATGCAGTTTAAAAAAATGTTCACAAAATGCAGATTGAATTATGATTGCTGTGATAATTACATCAAAGTACCTAGGGAAACATATTTTAACACCCGAGAGTGTCTTTAACATTATGTATATGCCCCATGGTTTCAGAAATAAAAAATCCCCAAATTATACATGTGTTTTATAGCACTTAGAAAAAGTGCAATATTGCGTCGGAAGTGTGGGTGGGTGCCACATAAATCAAATCTTGTCATATAATTTCCAGAAAAAATGCTTACCTGTTCAACTTGAAATCTTTACAGTTGCAAGAGCAGACAAGTACCAACATCTGTTTAGAGCATGCTAGGTTGATTACATGTAGGCCATTTTGAATTTTTCGCTAAATTAGTCATTTTGAATTTTTTAACTTGCTACAAATTGACCAATTTTAAAAAAATAAAAAAAATAAAAGTTCTCAGGAGTTTAAATCTGACCTTAGATTTGAGATTTGACCTTTGGTTGACATTTAGTGACCTTATTATTTAAATTTTGGTCAGCTTAATTACAAATTTTGCGGTCTGAAAAAGTGAAATCTTGATTGTCAAAGGTCAAGGTAAACGAGGTCACAAACAATGTCATCTTGGTATCTCAAGTTTGAGATGAATCAATCTCTGTCTTCTTAATTCAAGAAGAAATGCTGACCTGTTCAACTTGAATTTTTTACAGTTGCAAGAGCAGACTATAAAGTGCCAAGATTTGATTAGATTCTGGCTATGCTATCTATATGGTGACCATTTTGCTTTTCAAAGTTTGATATTATCACTGTGTGACTTGTTCATCTGTTGCTATTCATATGATTGGGCATAAACAGTATGAAAGTGATGGGACACAGTAAGATGCTAACAAGAAACAATCATATACACTATAAAGCACCACAAATCCAAATTGTAGATTTCTAAATGTGGTTCACTGAATAAAGCATTTACATTATAACTGCAAATAAATATCAAAGTATTGATAATTTAGTACTTTTCAGATTTATCATTGACTTGGTACTTTATGGCAAATGTTTCATTTGACCAACATTTCTCTCTGATTGAGTCAAGGTAACCTATCTTGACTAGATCTATTTCTAGCTTTTCCAATTAAACAGATCCGTTTTTTTTATTGCACTTGAAATTAAGTGCTATATTGCACTATATATTGCAATGCAAAGTATTAATGTCAATTAAACCACATGTTCCATATTTTTGAAAAAGTGAGTAAACATGTCAGGGGTGGATCCAGGATTTTGTGTTAGGGGGGGGGGGGGGGCGTGTGATAATAACTGTGAGCAAATTAAAAAAATAGTCAAATTTTGTAAAAAGTGATGAGGCAAAACACAAATTTTTCGACTTTTTAGGGGGGGGGGGGTGTGCGCCCCTCACGCACTCGTCTAGATCCGCTGGTGTATGTACCATGTTAACATTTACACCAACTTAAAAGATCCCAAAAAGATTTATCATATCACATGGTGAAGGTATTTAAATGCATGTTTGTTGAAATAGCATAGATTGGAAAAATGTCTGACATAAAAACTGCTGATAGATGTGAACAATGCAAAATACACTGATTGTTACCAAACCCAATCAAAAACTTTGAAACCGCCTGACCCCTACTTATTACCAGCTTAGATCTTTATATATTATTTGACGTTGCCTTTGAAAGTATATTGATTCCCAAAGTTAGGATTTTTCTGCCCTGTATTGCAAAAGAAATTCTAACATTTGATTTTAATCATTCTTGATGCATTTAACAGGAATGTTCAGGAATTTAAATATGGTTATATATATATTTGCTGTGGGAATGACAGCATTTTGTTTAATCTAGAAAAAAAAATTTGCATCCCAAGCTCATTTAAGTGTGCAGATTTATAAAAACTACAATTTTTATTCAACAAAACTTTCATTATCTATCCATATAATCTGTTGAACTTAAATCCAAAGTTCAAGGCTCTGCATCTCTGCATGGTATGCTTACCTTAGTACTAAATTGAATGGTAAATTGTTTAATTATTTCATAGCCTATCTTATCATGCTATGTAATAAAATCTGCCCAATAATCTCTGATTACACCTATTAATGTACTTAGCCGGGTATTATACATTTTATTCTGTTGATACCGAGTGTAAACCTTACAGAACGGGTCCTGTTGCCTTAGCAACGCTGAAATGTCTGATAATCTGACACATATTAGACTGAAGTGAAGATGTTATCAAGCCATAAATATCTTACACGTCCACTAATAAAAAACTAAAGAAACTGAGTCAGCCAAAATGGAAAACCGCATATCCCCAAACCACTAGAATTTACAGATTCACTTTTATAGCTCATTTAATTATTGCCATAGGATTCGAGAGTGTACAAAATCACAAAATGAAAGAACACATAAAATGATATCCCCATATCAAAATCGATTAGGGGTTCAATTAGAATAAATTCATTCAATCTGTTTTGCTGC